CTGGATGTACGAAGGGCCAGATCCACTCGCAGCATGGTAAGCAAGTACCAGTGTCTTGAAGTGGATTCTAGCAGTTACCGGAAGCCAGTGAAGGGAGCGGAGGAGCGGAGTGGTGTGGGAGAATTTAGGAAGGTTGAAGACCAGGCGAGCCGCTGCATTCTGAATGAGCTGCAGAGGTCGGATGGCACATGCAGGTAGACCAGCCAGGAGGGAGTTGCAGTAGTCTAGGCGTGAGGTGACGAGAGCCTGGACCAGAACCTGCGTGGCTTTCTGGGTCAGGAGGGGACGTATCCTCCTGATGTGTGCTTTAAAAGTGGATTCATATTAACTAATGATCTGATTCTGTAATGCAACTACAGCTGTCACATACATGAAGTGGAGTAAAAAGTTCAATATTGGCTTCTAAAATGTGGAGGAGTTGAAGAATAAGGTAGCATAACATTGAAGAACTCAAGTAGAAGTAACTCAAACCTGTTTCTAATTACACTACTTCTATCTTTTCATGAAGACAATTTCACACTCGTGTTGGAACCTGTATATAAACAGTCTATCTAGAACAAACACACTACTAGACTTTTATTGAAAGGGTGGACATTTTTTAAATTATTTCTCATGTTGCAAAATATGGGGAAATGTCTTATATGAAACGTATTGAGGTAGCAGGAATGTCATGGTAGGGATTTAAACAAACAAAAGAAAGTTAAGAGAGGAGGAGATGGACGGACACATGTTGGATCGAACAATCTTTTGCAGAAGGGAGAAAGATGTTGACATGTATTTAAACGTTTTATCTCCCATGTGTTCCTCCCCAGCATTAAGGCCATTGAAAGCGCCACAAAAGACGACGACACCAAGTGGCTCACCTACTGGGTGGTGTACGGGCTCTTCAGCGTGGCCGAGTTCTTCGCCGACATCTTCCTCTCCTGGTTCCCCTTCTACTATATCGGAAAGGTAATCCAGCTTCTGTCAATGTGTTGGGTTTAAAAAATGAATACAGTGTAATGATAGATTAGATCCAGAGGTGGGAAGTAGTGGAGTACAAATACTTTGTTACTGTATTTAAGTAATTTACTCCACTACTTATTTTTCTGACGACTTTTAACTTTGACTACATGTTGAACTCAAATACCTGTACTTTCTACTTCTTACATGTTGAACACAAATACCTGTACTTTCTACTTCTTACATGTTGAACACAAATACCTGTACTTTCTACTTCTTACATGTTGAACACAAATACCTGTACTTTCTACTTCTTACATGTTGAACTCAAATACCTGTACTTTCTACTTCTTACATGTTGAACTCAAATACCTGTACTTTTTACTTCTTACATGTTGAACTCAAATACCTGTACTTTCTACTTCTTACATGTTGAACACAAATACCTGTACTTTCTACTTCTTACATGTTGAACTCAAATACCTGTACTTTCTACTTCTTACATGTTGAACTCAAATACCTGTACTTTCTACTTCTCTCATTTTCCAAACAGCTGGTTCCTTTAGTCTGAATGTGTGTTTGGTGCGTGATCATTATTCTTTAGAGTCATTGCGTGCCTATTGATTTGAACACGATCCGTGTATCCATCATTTCCTGGTCTTCTCTAAAGAAGAGGGACCAATGGAAACGTTGTCATGTTGCCGTTGTTCAGCATGGAAACATTCATTAGCTAACAATGACATTATTGTTCTATTAATACAAAGGGAGGTCAGGTACTCTTTAAAACAGCTGCTAGTTATGGGTACTTTTTACTGAAGTACATTTCAAAGCCTCTTTACTTTGACTTGAGTAAAGAAGTTTAGTCAGTACTTCTACTTTAACCAGAGTATTTTTAAACACGAGTATCTGTACTTCTACTTGAGTAAAGGATGTGTGTACTTTGCCATCTCTGATTAGATCCAACTTTATAGTCATTGCACACAACGGAAATGCGGTCAAAACAGCACTAAAGTGAAGAGTGATGTATTGTATAAGTATTATATATAATTTAGTAAAACAGTTTAAGGCAGTATACACATTACAAACAGAACAAATTAATACACCATAGATATGGTATAAATAAGACACAATATAGAATAAATAGAAATATATATTATGGACGTTTTGGTCCTTTTTTAATTCTAAGAATAAATATGCCATATATATTCATTATACTAAAATGATAAATTGTGTTTGTCTCCCCCTCCTCTCTCCAGGGTGCCTTCCTGGTTTATTGCATGGCCCCCACCGCCTCTAATGGATCCATCCTCATTTATACTCGCATCATTCGACCAGTCTTCCTGAAGAACGAAGGCAAGATCGACGATGCGATGAAGATTGTGAAGGACAAGGCGTCAGAAGCTGCTGACAAGTTCAAAGACGAGGGTGAGACAATTTACTGGAAACACAATCGTGATGAAATGTGTGGGACGGGGAAGAAACAGATAACAGTTCCCTTCATGTGTCACTTACTTCACATAGAGGTAGGAGAAGTACTCAGATCTTGTACTTGAGTGAAAGTAGAAGTACTCAGATCTTGTATTTGAGTAAAAGTAGAAGTACTCAGATCTTGTATTTGAGTAAAAGTAGAAGTACTCAGATCTTGTACTTCAGTAAAAGTAGAAGTACTCAGATCTTGTATTTGAGTAAAAGTAGAAGTACTCAGATCTTGTACTTCAGTAAAAGTACTCAGATCTTGTATTTGAGTAAAAGTAGAAGTACTCAGATCTTGTACTTGAGTGAAAGTAGAAGTACTCAGATCTTGTACTTGAGTAAAAGTAGAAGTACTCAGATCTTGTACTTGAGTGAAAGTAGAAGTACTCAGATCTTGTACTTGAGTAAAAGTAGAAGAACCAGAGTGTGGGAATACTCTGTTTCAGTAAAAGTCCTGCATTCAAAATGTTCCTCAAGTAAAAGTAGAAAAGTATTCTCATCAAAATATAGTGAAAGTAGTCGTTGTGCAGATTGGTCCATTTCAGAATAATATATATGATATGTTTTATAATGATTGATCATTAAAGTGTTCTCAAAGCTGGTAAAGGTGCAGCTAGTTTGAATGACTTACAAGTACACCATTTACCTCTGAATTGTATTGGAGTATAAGTACAAAGTAGCATAACATGGAGATACTCAAGTAACTATGTACAAGTATCTCAAAATTCTACTTAGGTACAGCACTTGAGTAGATTTACTTGGTTACTTTACACCTCTGTACAGTTGCAAGTAGCTATCAGAATTACTAAATAAGATGTGTGTGTGTCTCTGTGTGTGTGTGTGTGTGTCCACAGCCAAGAGAGCCACGGCCAACATCATGTTCGAGGAGAAGAAGTACGAGTAAAGAGGGGGGGTCGGACTCTGACAGGAGAAATGTTGCCTTGTTTGTTCTTAAATCTGAATCTTTATGTCACATGTTTCATGGAAAGCCATTTACTTATTTAACTCTGCCTTCTGCGGGGCTGTGAGACCTTTACACACGCCCTGATGTGCTTTATGAACCAAATAAAACCCGCTCAAGTGGTCCTGGTTTTATTCATTTCACTGTTGTGTGTACATGTACTGCATTGAAAAAGTATAGTTAGTAAACCGAGTCACAGTATTACATATAAAAGTATCCAATGCAGAAATATCTCTTAAAATAACACCCAAAACCTTTTTCCACTTATTCCTTAAAGAAGCTTTTCTCCTGTAAACTGTTGGTTAGTTTGGTTAAAAACTAAACATCAAATGTAATAAAAAATCAGTATAAATGTTTAATATGTCACTGTAATGTAACTAAGGCTATAAGATGTTGGTTAATGTCTCTTGTATTCTCTATTACTGTCAATTTTAACATCAGAAAAGCCCAGTGGGTTTTCTGCCTGGCAACGGTTCGTTTGTGTGTTTTAACCACGCAAGAATAAAGTACAAATACCTTTACTTTGCTCTCAAGTATAACACTTGAGTATATACTTAAGTCACACTCCACCACTGGGTTTCCCTGGATATAGAGCAGACACAAATGATATGTTTTGATCCACTAATGAGCAAGTCTGCAGTTCCTATTTGACCCACTAGGTGTCACTACATTACATGTCACTTGTTAGACGCTTTTATCCAAAGCGATTTACACTCAATACTGTGGACAATCCCCAAAGAGCAATTTGGGTGTGTCTTGCCCAGGGACACAACGACATACTGGCCGTTTCTCAATCGCGAGTACACCTGCTGCAGAGCAACTATTTCAAGTATACTACGTCATAGAGTGGCGCAGAATGCTGGGCATTTGATTTAACATGCATTTAAACAGTCCTTCAGCGCCACTCGATGACGTAGTATACTTGAAATAGTTGCTCTACAGAAGTTTTACTTGCGATTGAAAAACGGCCGCTGACTGCAGTGGGGTTTGAACCTGATCTGAACACCAACGCACTAATCCACTGGCTCGAGCCGCCACTATTGAGGCCAAGTAGTTAGATCTTGTGCTTGAGTAAAAGTAGAAGTACTCAGATCTTGTACTTGAGTAAAAGTAGAAGTACCAGAGTGTAGGAATACTCTGTTACAGTAAAAGTCCTGCATTCAAAATGTTCAAGTAAAAGTAGAAAAGTATTCTCATCAAAATATAGTTAAAGTAGCGACAGTAAAAGTAGTCATTGGTCCATTTCAGAATAATATATATGATGTGTTTTATAATGATTGATCATGAAAGTGTTCTCAAAACTGGTAAAGGTGCAGCTAGTCTGAATGACTTTGTATACTGCAGGGTAGCTGGTGGATTTACTCCAGGTGGAACTAAAGTCTGATTTAACACTTGATTATATTTCACATCATTCATCCACATCTGTGAAGTAACTAAAGGTATTAAATACATGCAGTGAGTCAAAGTACACCATTTACCTCTGAACTGTAGTGGAGTAGAAGTACACCGAGGCATATACTCAATACTCAAAGTACCTCCCAATTGTACTTAAGTAATGAACCCACCTGTCCTCCAAAGGTTCCTGGCTTCTGCCTCCTTGCAGAATAAAGCAGTCGACACGGTGTTAAAGAGAGCTGGTACGAGTGAGTACAGTGATTGATTTTAATGGCTTCATAAACAACTATAAAACAGTTCATAAAAATTCATGCACTTTCAGTGTAAATTCAATTTGAAATATAGAGGAAATCTATGTACAACAGTGCGAACCGTAACAGTGACTTCATTCAGTTGGGTGGTTCACCACAAATATACTTGGCTGCATAGAAACAGTGACATTATTGCCTACGTAGAAAAAGGAAACTGAAAGGTAAATCAAATAAAAAGTGTAAAAAGTCGAGTTTATTTAAGATCTAACAGAACTGGTGCTTTAGCGGAAGAAACCTGACTTTTATTTCAAACAATGATTTTAAAAAGTCAGTTTCTTCTCAACTTACCGAGCAGAAGAACGAAGCATTAGTGAATAAAACATTAAAGATTCTTTCCCTTTACCAAAAGTTACATTCTGAAAGCATTATCATGAAAGAACTATTTTACAGAAACTCACTCGTAGAACGACAAAAAGCCTGAGTTGATGGGGAAAAGTAGAGTCATAATAAATCCAAAAAGCCTGAGGAAAAAAGACCACCGATTTACTATTTTACAAAAATGTACAACAGTATTAATGAAGAGGAAATAAATCATGATACACCTCACGCTCCCAAAAAAACAACAACAATCCAGGTTATTTTTTTACAGCTAAGATATGTTATTAAATAATTCACGCCTGGTTGGAAAACGAAGAAACCTGCTGAGGGAAAAATGAGAAATGCTGAACATGAGGTACGCCAGGTGGTGAGCCCGAGCCGGACACCTTTAAACATCGACTTGTAAAGCGATTCTGTTCTCATCGAGTTAACACTTAAATAAGGTAGATAATCACATCGAGCATGATGGAGACGGACAGACGAAACAGACAACAACAGGATCCAGTGTCATTGGTTGGGAATATGAGGCAGCTCTCAGGGTCAATTGTGTCAGTTTCCAGAGTTAAGAAAAGTTTATAAAAATAACAAAAATCGCTGCGTGCCGTCTCGCTGCAGCTTTAAACTCTTTAATACAAAAATATGATTTGTTTTTTTTAATCTGCTGCCTGGCGTTCCCGAGATGAAGCAGCTGCAGTGGATGCACAGTGTTTCTTCCTGCAGCTGCAGTGAGTTCACAGTCCCTGTAAGGCATTTGCTGTGTTTTTTTTTCGGAGTCTATGGCTGCTACCAGCAGACCTGGGAGCTGCTGTTATGTCTTGCGGCTGCTCCAGATCTGCTCCGGTGTGCTCTTGTGGTCTGACGAGTAGTCGAAGGGCGAGCGGTGTCCCATGGGCGAGCGTGAGTCGTAGGGCGAGCGTTGGTCCCGGGGGGAGCGGGGGGGAACGCTGGCCGAGGCGCGCTGCTCCGCCTGCCAGTCCGAGTGGTATCGGTAGGAGGAGCGGTGGTCGGAGTGGGAGTGGTCCTTCACGTCCAGGCGGTCTCTGGAGCGGAACTCGTCCAGCTTCCTGTGCTTGCTGTCGTTGTAGTATCTGCACACACAGAGCATCAGGAGTTAGACGACACTTTAACACATGAGGATGCAAGTGTACACTAGGGCTGTCCCGAATACCATTTTTCGGGCTCCGGATATTCGGTAGTAATCGGCAGCGAATATTCGGCGGGGGGGGGCGGGGGTTAGGGGCGTAGTAATCAGCAGTGAACCGCTTCAACACGTGTATTTCGGTGTATTCACGGCATTCATTTTGTTATTCTACAGTATTGTTGTTTTATAGTTATTTTTTAATGTAACCCAATTTGTGTTCTTTGAAATTGAAAAGGATATCGCATTGTGTTTGTTACTTTCGTTGCAGTTGTATATGTCTTAAGTGTAATATGGCTTGGCTTCCTATTTATGGACATGCTTTTATTTTGAAGGAGAGGTAGCGCTGTTGACAGGAAGTTGTTGTTGCTATGGAAACAACGTGACGGAGATTAACGGAGAAAAGTAATATCTACATATAAAGACGGAGAAAGTAGACGATAACGTTTATGGTTAAGTGTTAGCACCCCCGAAGAGGCACAAGCTCTCACGTTGATATTGGAGATTTCAATAATTTGAAACAAAAACGGGGAAAAAACAAATATCGGAATAACGAAATTGAAACCCGAATAGTACTCCAACGAACGGATATTCGGGTACAGCCCTAGTGTACACACGATCTGCACCCACATCAAGCACGCAGATATTCATTTGATATAACATTTTGCTGTATAGAGCGGGGCAGTGATGATTTATTTTGGAGCGCCAACCCAGAAATTAGCTCCTCTAAGAAAGGATTTGGATTTTGAAAAATGTGCAGAAAATAAGATCTGTGGTAAACACACAATCCGACACTTCAACGTTTGTTCAGCAGGATAATCTACACATATTAACAACTTTAGGATTTAGCATAAACGCAATCGCCTTTCCCTCCAAGCTAATGTTGGGCTATAAACATCACGGTCACATGACGTCACCACGGCTAACAAGTCATGCAGTTCTTTTCTTTTAATATAATGTTTAAGGTTGATGTAATGACTGAATTGAATGGAGACTCAACTCTAGAGAACCCGTCTCCACTGAAGACCTACCGAGTGTTTGATGGGGATTTATTTCCACTTTAGAACGTAACCTACCATTATTTATTCTTAAATAATTCAAGAATGAGGTTGTACCATGGATGTATAATAAGAACTGGATACAGCGTGGGAGGCGGGGTCTCGTTCTTTCCTATGAGAGCTGCTCATTGGCACATGAGGACAAAATGGCCCAACTTTTGAGAGACCGAAATGTCACAGATTACCCATCATGCCTGGCTGTGCTCTCATAGAGCATGTGCAGTTGAGTTGCTCCTTAAGCCCCGCCCCCGAGCTCCTACTCTCAGATGCGCGTTCATAATGCCGAGGAAAATAACTCTCAGAATAACGTTAATAAGGGTCGTTTATTTGGTTAAAAAAAATGTACCCAACGATTTACAGACGTCTCTTTCCCAATGTTAGTCAATGGGGAAAAGTCTTTCCGGGCCCAGGGACGTCACGGACTGATACGGAAGTTGCAGTACCGCCGTTTGGACACAACGAATATTTTCCTCAGAGTCCGGCACACTTCCTGGGGGCTTGGGTAGGACACAAGGTGTCTGTGTCTGACCAATCACAGATGATAAGGACTACAAAACCCCGCCCCTAAAGTTGTATTTATTACAGCAGAACTGAATCAGGCCCTTGTGGAAACATCCTAAAATGCTTGAATCTTGTTCTCACCTGTCCGATCTGTCTCTGTCACGGTCCCTGTCCCTACTGTCTGGTCTGTAGTGGTCTCTGTCTCTGTGGTCTTTGCCGTCTCTGTGGTCTTTGCCGTCTCTGTGGTCGTCTCTGTGGTCTTTGCCGTCTCTGTGGTCTTTTCCGTCTCTGTGGTCTTTGCCGTCTCTGTGGTCTTTGCCGTCTCTGTGGTCTTTTCCGTCTCTGTGGTCTTTTCCGTTGCTGAAGGAGGTATACGGTCTCTTCCTGCTCTCCCCTCCCGAGGACTTCCTGTGCGGCTCGGAGCTGTGTCGGTCCTTGCTGCTGCTCTCGTGGTGCCGTCCTGACGGAGGATGTCTGTCCGAGCTGTAGCTGTCCCTGCTGCTCTCATCCTGGTGAGAGCTGTCCTTCAGCCGTTCGATATCTGAAGACAAACACCACACACTCATCAGAAAGCCGATGTCCATCTTAAAGGTCCCCTATTATACTGTTTGTCATCAATATATTACAAGTCTGAGATATTTGTTGTGAGGCATCAGCAGACGCTTCTTGGTGATAGCAAACTTAAAATATTTTTGAATAAGTAAAAATAACTCGAACACTTCTTAGCTTGTTTAATTGATTAAAACAAGGTTTGCTAACACCTAAATCAGACAGCTTTTGTTAAAGTCTAGGGGTCCACAGACTTTTCCAACATACACTATGACCGTTTGAATTATGTTTTTCAATATATCATAAATAGTGCGTGTGCTTTCAGTTGAAACAGATTGTATTTGTTGATTATTGTACCTACGGTGAACATCAGACCATCCTTTTATATCAATTGTAAACATAAATGCAGATTATTCCAAGGGGTTCATATACATATTGTTAAGCTGACTGTACCTGTGTGTTTGTATCCGTGGGTGTTTGCATTTCTAGTGTTCTGCTCCATTGCCTGAGGAAAGAAACATAATGTTGGCACAGGGCGTCATACTTTGATAACAAATTCAGAAGTCCAACAGGCTTTTACATACCTGGGCGTTCTCTTGTCTTTTCTTGATTGCATGTTTGTACAGTTTATGAAGTTTCCTGGCATCGAACTCCGTGAATTTGGAAACAAATATCCACAGGTTTCTGTGAAGGACAAACATGTAAACAATCAGTTTGATTCAATCAGAGAGTGAGGTTAGGTTTTGGCTCTATGACACCTGATTACTATATGATTCTGTTTACTTCAAGGTTGTGTCTTCCTGGTCGAACGCACTTATTGTGAGTCGCTTTGGAAAAAAGCGCCAGCTAAATGCAATGTAATGTTAGATCTTACGCTACTGTGTGTGTGTGTGTGTGTGTGTGTGTGTGTGTGTGTGTGTGTGTGTGTGAATCCCAATTTGAGTATTTGTTCAAGGTATTAGGAGATCATAAGTAGAGTAAAGCAGTCAGAGCCTTTCCCTTCCCTTGAGGTAGCTCTCACACCCTGGCTGTAACGATTATTAAACACACGTTCAATTCATGACTAAAATCAAAAGGCCAAACTAGTTTCTGATGTCATGTGACTCACTGATCACACATTAGACTGTTTGCTTCATATCTTGTTTCCACATTTCTGTTTCTACATCAAGGTTACTCCAGGGAACCGTCACACAACCTTACTGTGAGGCAGAGAGGGTAAAAGTACACACATGCTTTACTCAAGCAGAAGTACAGATACTCGTGTTTAAAAATACTCTGGTAGAAGTAGAAGTACTGACTAAACTTCTTTACTCAAGTCAAAGTAAAGAGGCTTTGAAATGTACTTCAGTAAAAAGTACCCATAACTAGCAGCTGCTTTAAAGAGTACCTGACCTCCCTTTATATTAATAGAACAATAATGTCATTGTTAGCTAATGAATGTTTCCATGCTGAACAACGGCAACGTTTCCATTGGTCCCTCTTCTTTAGAGAAGACCAGGAAATGATGGATACACGGATCGTGTTCAAATCAATAGGCACGCAATGACTCTAAAGAATAATGATCACGCATCAAACACACATTCAGACTAAAGGAACCAGCTGTTTGGAAAATGAGAGAAGTAGAAAGTACAGGTATTTGAGTTCAACATGTAAGAAGTAGAAAGTACAGGTATTTGAGTTCAACATGTAAGAAGTAGAAAGTACAGGTATTTGTGTTCAACATGTGAGAAGTAGAAAGTACAGGTATTTGGGTTCAACATGTAAGAAGTAGAAAGTACAGGTATTTGAGTTCAACATGTAAGAAGTAGAAAGTACAGGTATTTGTGTTCAACATGTGAGAAGTAGAAAGTACAGGTATTTGGGTTCAACATGTAAGAAGTAGAAAGTACAGGTATTTGTGTTCAACATGTGAGAAGTAGAAAGTACAGGTATTTGTGTTCAACATGTAAGAAGTAGAAAGTACAGGTATTTGTGTTCAACATGTAAGAAGTAGAAAGTACAGGTATTTGGGTTCAACATGTAAGAAGTAGAAAGTACAGGTATTTGTGTTCAACATGTGAGAAGTAGAAAGTACAGGTATTTGTGTTCAACATGTAAGAAGTAGAAAGTACAGGTATTTGTGTTCAACATGTAAGAAGTAGAAAGTACAGGTATTTGGGTTCAACATGTAAGAAGTAGAAAATACAGGTATTTGTGTTCAACATGTGAGAAGTAGAAAGTACAGATATTTGTGTTTAACATGTAAGAAGTAGAAAGTACAGGTATTTGTGTTTAACATGTAAGAAGTAGAAAGTACAGGTATTTGTGTTCAACATGTAAGAAGTAGAAAGTACAGGTATTTGTGTTCAACATGTAAGAAGTAGAAAGTACAGGTATTTGTGTTCAACATGTAAGAAGTAGAAAGTACAGGTATTTGGGTTCAACATGTAAGAAGTCAAAGTAAAAAGTCGTCAGAAAAATAAGTAGTGGAGTAAAGTACTGATACCAGAAACATGTACTTACCAAAGTATTTGTACTCCACTACTTCCCACCTCTGCTGTGTGTGTGTGTGTGTGTGTGTGTGCACGTGTATGCTTACTTTCTCCACTGTTTGATCTGCTCGGGGTTGGAGTACTCCTTCAGACACTCGGTGATGTGGTCTCCGATCTTGATGAGGCACTGCCTGGTGTGTTCCAGCTGCTCTCGCTCCGACAGACCTTTCTCCGGTCGGTCCAGCTGCTTCAGCGCCGCTTTCACCGGCCGCATCCGCTCCTTACACTGCAACCATAAAACTTCAGTCAACTCAGCTACGTTCACAAACATTAGGATAACATCTGTTCCTAATCCCCGAAGACCCCCTTTTCCAACCAGGTGGTTCCAAGAGCAGTTCGGAGCCTGATTGCAAAACTGTTTTCGCGCTTCAACTGCATCCGCGCTGGCTCTCGGCACACAACTGTGGGTTTTACTTTGGGTTAACTTTCAATTCTCACGAGTATCATTGTCCATGTTTTACTGTATTATTTCTGTTTTGCTTATATTTTACATTTTTAAAATTGTTTTATTTTAACCTATTTGAATTTCTTGTCAGCTTTACTTCAAGGGAATTTCATTTGGATCGCTGTTGATGTTTTATCTTGTTCTGTATTTATTTTAATATTGTCGTTATGTTTTCTGTAAAGCACTTTGGGCTGCTTTGTGCATGAAAGGTGCTATACAAATAAATGTGTGGGGGAACTTCTGAAGCAGTTGGAGTCAGGACTATTGCGGCTTTCACACCAGCGCTTTTCCCTTTCTAGCTCGAGCTAGAGCTTTTCTGGTTCAGCTCCGGTTTCCCTTTTCTGCTCCCGCTCTGTTCACACCGCCCAGAGCTGCGTCATGACGTCACCGTTTACGTGCCTGCTTCATAAAATCCAAACCGCGCGGAAATCCCTCACATCGACAACAACAACAATGGACGATTGTATTGAAGCGCTGTTCGCTTTGGTTATCCTCTTACGAAACTAAATGGAAGGCATCGGACAACTTTACAAGGGACGACTTTACTTGGAACTTTACCAACATCACATGCGAAATGCAAGACTTCTTTGTGGTCTTCAGCATCTACTTCAACGACGAATCTGCCCCTGCCCCCCGCCTCAACGTAAGAGAGACGTAAGCGACGCCGCCTCTTAGCTCCGAAGCTCTTGCCTCTAGACTGACAATTTTTTGGAGCTGGAAGTGAACCGGATTCCGGAGCTGACAACGCGTTGGTGTGAAAGGGGCATCAGAGAGACACGATGGAGAGCTGGAGCTTTGATGCCAAACACTGACGGTTTATTTGGAGCTTCGGCCGGAGAATTCACACGACATGTCACGTCTGACCACACGGTTGAGATGCCACAATCAATCCTGAAGACCCGTCCTGCAGCTCCAGGTTTTAACTAGTGTAATAATAATAATAATAATACAGAGTGTAATAATCAACATTCTTCATTAGATGGACTAAACAGCTGAGGACACTGAATCACATTTGTTGTCTCTTTGGGGTCATCTCCACCCAGAGAAGGATGTGTTCCAGGTGTCCCACAACAATGACTATCTCTGACTGAGAGTTGCCCGGTCACAAACTGGCAACATCAACAACTTGCTAGGGCAGCCCCTCCTTACGGGAGATAACGGCTGCTCAAGGCTGGTCAGCTGCGTCAGAGGGCGAAGGAGGACATGCAGGGCAAATTATTCCCCAACAACATACATAAGTGACCTGCTCTATTGAAATCAGTCGCATTGACCCGAAGACACATTTTGTGTTGTATACACTGTTGGAAAGAGGAGATTCCTAGCTTTCTAATGATATCAGGATTGTTGTTGTACTCCAAATATTAAGCAAAATATGTCACATTATATAATGACTGTCACCGAGTCATCATTTTGTCGTCGATCTGATTGATTAGCGGAGAAAATGATCAAAATACTACGGAGGGAAAATATTTTCGTTTGGATTACTGGTCTGGGGGAAGCTCGCGAGTGTGTGTGTGTGTGTGTGTGTACACATGTGTGTGTTTGTGTATTTTTGAGTTTGTTTCCCGGGGAAAACCCTCACGAGAAACACCGGCTGTAGTTATGCCTGCTGTGACGTCATGTTACTCCGTTCTCCGCTTGTAATTATGCCGAAGCTTCAAAGCTATATTTATCAGCTGAATTTGCCGAAACAAGTTTAATATTCTGAAAGCTAAGACTTTGTTTATTTTAAATCAGATGAAAACAAACTGTAACGGAGCCTGCCGTGTTATCAATGATTACTATACTCTTACATTCATAATGTCAGCGGGAGGGAGGGGGGGCGGCGCTGCGGAACAGCAGAGTGCGAGTGAGAGGTGTCTTCTTCCCTTTACAAGCTTCAAAAAGGTATTTATTGTGTGATTTTGGAAATAAAAGTTTCATATTCTGAAAGCCAAGACTTTGTTTATTTCAAATCAAACAAAAAACGCAAATCCACGTTTATTTTGAAACGAGCCGATGCGACTTCCGACTGATTTCGATAGAGCGGGTCACATATTAACTATACTCATTGGATTATTTCCTGCACTTTATTTGTTATTATTTTATGTATGTATGAATGTCTTTGTTGTCTATTCTGAATGTGTTGACGGCACCTTAAAAAGGAGTAGCTTTACTCTTCTCACTGTACTTGTATAAATGACAATAAATGCTTCTAATCTACTCTAAACTGGTTGAACTCAAGAACCAAAGGGTCGGAAAGTGAGTGACTTTCAAGTAGCAGATGCCGGTAGCAAACAGGCTTAAAGATGGTGGAAAACTAGCGGGGTACCACTCCAGCTCCAACTAGTAGGACAAATGATTAGCTTTGACTCTGGACCACAGTATAAAGCAGTTGTGAAATACTTGCAATTCACTCGTACGTTTAATAGCACCAGGGTATATGCAGGAATCCTGAAGTCAAATGTAAAACCTTTTAAGACCTTTTTTAAGACCCTTTCCATACATTTTAAGACCTTATCGCCACTTGGAGTTTTAACCGGTTACCTTGGCGACCCACTTTACCTCACATTGACTATAGACAGTATTGATTGTCCTTCCTCCTTATCTTCAAACCATTTGGACGCAGACTTGCATTTCCCCATAACGATGTTTAACAACCGGCGTAAACGGACCTCCGCGCGCTATCAAGCAGTGAGCGTGCGATGTCCTGTTCAGATGACGTCAAACCCAACGGGATGCCATAAATAAACTACACAGAATCACACTACACACCTACGCAATAATTACATTCAGGCAGACTGTAGAATACAACCTCTTTGGACCATTTATATACTTATTGAAAACAAGCTACAAAATGTAATACCTTGGAAAATGCCGTTTAATACTTTTTAATAGCCTTAATTTTCGTTAATTGATTTATCAACTTATAATACTTTTTAAGACCCCGCGGACACCATTATCTGTATTGGGAGTGACATCTACGCTAGCTTGCAGTGACATGTGGCTCCTGCAGGGTGTGCAATGCCACCAAATAAACTCTCAAACAAACTCTAAACACCAGGCTTTGTTTTCTAACTAAATGTGTTCCTCACGCACCACACTGAAGGTCCTCTGGTCCAGCTCCTCAGACTCCTCAGACACCGGCACGGTTTCTCCCCCCGCTGTTATATGGACCGGCACATCACCGGGTTTCTTAGTCTTCACCTCGTTCTGGTGAGGAGGGATTGGAGAGTTAATTCCCAAACAAAAACATTGAACCCAAAGCCTTCATCTTGATTTAATAAACAGGTCAAATATAGTAACGGAAAGTATCACAAACAATTTTTTCACCTTGTCCAGGTTGTCCTCTTTGTACACCGCCTCCAGAGGCTTCGTCTCCTTTTTCTCTTTTGGCTCCTTTGTTTCTTTAATGTCCCAACTGTCGTCCTTCTTCTCCTTTTTGCTTTCTTTTTTGATCTCCATTTCCCCCGACGACGATACTTCCTCCTGCTCAGGCTCCTCGTCTTCATCCTCCTCGTCTTCATCCTCCTCGTCCTCCTCCTCCTTCGGCACCACCCGGTCTGCTCGGCCCCGTCTGCTCGGAGCTTTCACCGGTGCCACCTCCTGAAGGGGGTTAAAAGTGTTAAACATGGAAGCAGTGGGTGTTTCTCAATGTCGAGAGGACGCTTCCTTGGTAGGACCATGTATGTATAATAAGAACTGGATACAGCGTGGGAGGCGGGGCCTCGTTCATTCCTATGAGAGTTGCTCATTGGCGCATGAGTGAGCGAAACGTCACGAAAGTATTCATATAATCATATGATCCGTTCTTATTGTGCGTCCATGGGTAAAGGTAAAACTCATGTAGTATTGAACACGTCACATGAACGTGCCGGGCGGCGCGGTCCCGTGGGTTAGATGCGCGTTCATAATGCCGAGGAAAATAACTCAGAATAACGTTATTAGCACATTTTACAACTTGAGGACCGAATGTTTTTAATAAGGGCTATACAAACGTTCATACTGGGTAGTTTATTTAGTTTAAGAAAATTCAACGATTTACAGACGTCTCATTCCCGATGTTAGTCAATGGGGAAAAGTCTTTCTGGGCCCAGTGACATCACGGACTGATACGGAAGTTGCAGTACCGCCGTTTGGACTAGGGCTGCACGATTTTGGGGAAAAAAATCTAATTGCGATTTTTCTGACAAATATTGTGATTCGAATTGTGATATTTGTTTTTAAGCGACCGGCTAGGAAGGTCGTATTAACGTACTCCCGTCTCTAGCACCCCCGCAGCCCGAGCTACGAATGAAAGAACTAAACTTACATGAAACTTCCGTTGGGTTGCTTTAAAGTCAAGCTTCAGTTTAAGATTCACCCTGTAATAGATGTAAAACATGTGATGGAGCATTACTAACCTGACTCTAGGAAAGCTCCATTGGAAGCCATTTGGAAAGGGCAGACACTTTCAAAAGCACTTGGCAGGTGATTGGATCAATCTGTCTATCACCTTCTATCATGGGCCACTTCTGATTGATTAACAATGGATGGTACATGTGGAGCACAGCACTTCTGATTGGTGTGGATGACTGACACAAAATTAATCGTTCAGCCCTAGTTTGGACACAACGAATATTTTCCTCAGAGTCCGGCACACTTCCTGGGGGCTTGGGTAGGACAAGTCCCTCCGAGTCAGGTCCTTCAGAAGCGAGGCAAGAATCCTTCCTAGTCTCGGAAAACGAAGAATGGTGGAACAGGCTAACAGGTGTGCGTCATATGCGAGGCCCCGCCTTAAATGGAGCAGCTCTCATAGGAAAGAACGTGACCCCGCCTCCCACGCTGTATGCAGTTCTCATTATACATCCATGGTGCAGCCTCGAAATTTCCCGCAACGAAGGACGTCGGCCTCGGTAGAATTCCAAGCATCCTGGACATTGGAACAGTCGTTCGGCGGCACTCGATGACGTCCATGAAATAGTGCCTCTGGAGCAGCTGTCCTCGATATTGAGAAACACCCAGTTATTTCATGCTGCGGCGAGCAGTGCGAGATGTCTCTAAATACTAGGGATTGGAAAGATAAATCGGATATTCAAAATGATTCAGGTATTCGAATATGAGTTATGAATATTTTTTTTTAATGGGAGGAATGCCTAAGTTGATTACATAGAATCGGAGGGATGAAACCCCTCTGTAATGGTCACACATGCAGAGCACACAGTGACATTTGTTCTCTGCTTTTAACCCATCCTAGTACCAGGAGTCTAGTACTAGGAGCAGTGGGCAGCTATTGTACAGCGCAATGGCAGTGAGGGGGGAAGGGGGGAAGGGGGGTGTCCGGTGCCTTGCCACGGCAGGAAGTGAACTGGTACCTCTCCAAGCAGCAGTCCACACTCCATATTTTAGATCTGTTCGGGGACATGAACCGGCGACCATACGGCTCACAGTCCAAGCCTCTACTGACTGAGCCACTGCCGGACATTATCAAATGGATTAATTAAATGTATACGACAGTGCCATTTTAAATATATTTATTTATTATATATATAAATGTTTTTGTATATGTACATTTGGTTAACCGTTTTTTTTGTTGGTCGAATATTCGAATATATATCTGCTTTCAAATTCCCATCCCTACTAAATACCTTTTCCTCCTCGATCTCGTCCTCGTCGTCCGACCTCTTGTCCGATGGGGGGTCCGAGGACGTGCTCTTCAGCACCTCTTCGGTCTTAATTGGCTTCTGGGTCTTGCTCTTCTTATTTCTCGGTTTCCTCTTCCGTGAATTGGCCTAAACGACACAAAGGAGTGTGGAGAATTAGAGTAGAAACACATTTGATTAAGGGATGAGACGATGTCAAATAAATCAGCAGATACAGATGTTTAGACTAACAATTTAGCAGATGTCTTATTGAATCTTTTAAATATTTTTAACTGTAATGCTTGACATCACTGCTGCTGTGACAAAATAAATTGCCAGTTTGGGATCAATAAAGTACCAAAGTACCTAAGTACCTATCTATCGTGTGTGCCATTAGCCGCTTTCACACCAAGTACTTTGCCGTACTTAGTGCCAGCACTTCGTTCCCCCATGGAACTAAGTACAGATCGCGTTCACACCGGAATAAGTCCCTGAGGGAAGATTACGCAAATGAAGCCGCTGACGTCACTTCGTCTTCTTCTGCTTTGGGTTTATTGGCAGGCCGCAAACAACTTCACGGTGTATACTGCCGTCCGGAAGTCCCCGGAGTTGGGGACTGGCTTCAGTCGAAGCTGCTGGGACTTCTTCTACTGAAGCCTTCTGAGTAAATCGCCAGAACACCGACACCTCCTCATCTCCACCGCTCCCATGTTTTTTTTTGTGTTGCCATAAGTTAGTCTCTCTCCGTTGGTGCGCGGGGCTAATGCTAATGCTAATAATGCTAATGCCAGCAAATACAATGGCGGCTTAAAAAAAACTTTTCAGAGTTTTACGGGGCGTGGTTTTCAATTCGCCCAGCCAATCAGAAATTGGTACTTTTGTCTCCCCAGGAAAGTACCACCTCTCTAGCAGGGCACTACAAAGGGGGGAAAGTTCTCATGAACTAAGTTCTCTTTTTGGTGTGAACGCAAAATCCCAGGAACTATCGGAACTAAATGGGAAAAGTACTCCGGTGTGAAAGCACCTATTGAGGAGATTTGTAGTTCCAACATTCAGTGGTTGTGTTTGACTGCTATTGTCCGTTATAATCCATTATTACCCTTCAGTTTCTGTTCATAATTCAAGGATATTTAATAGCATTACATTTCCATTCATTCAATTAAACCATGTTTGTTATATGCATGTAAAAAAGGACATGAGTAACCATCAGAAGAACAGAGGAGGACTTACTGTCCCGGCTTGCTTCTGTGCTTCTTTCTTGGCCAGGTCCTTGCAGAGCAATTTGATGAGGTAGTCTGCTCTGGTCTGCAGCTGCTTTGCTTGTGGCTTCTTGTCAGGGTCGTCAGGTAGGAGCTGAACGCATGGACACAGAAAACACTTTCAGGAATAGCTACACACACAGAAAACACTTTCAGGAATAGCCACACACACACACACACACACACAAACACTTTCAGGAATAGCTACACACACACACACCACAAACACTTTCAGGAATAGCTACCTACACACACACACACACACACACACACACACACACACACACACACACACACACACACACACACACACACACACACACACACACACACACACACACACACACACACACACACACACACACACACACACACACACACACACACACACACACACACACACACACACACACACACACACACACACACACACACACACACACACACACACACACACACACACACTTTCAGGAATATCACACACACACACACACACTTTGAGATTGACAAATTGACTTTGACGTCCCAGACAAACATTGGATTATTAGTGCACAAATATGAAATATCGAGAACAAAAACAAGACAGATTGAACATATATTATGCCTGAGCTCACCTTGTGTGTGAGGTTAAGGTCCGGATCCATCTTAATCATCTCCCAGCTGCCGTAACCGTACTCGTAGATTCCTATCAGGAGACTGGAGTCGTCCTCCTTCCCCCAATCAATGTCAAAGTGTGCTGCCTTCGAATGGCATGGAATCATATACCTATACAAACAGAACAAATATGTGAGCCATGAACTCATTGTACATTACACAGACCAATCAAAAAGGCTGTGAGAGATATCATGGTGTGTTCACTTACTTCTTCCTCTCCTCAGGGTCATCAGGAATGGCCTTATGAAGCGGAGCGAGCTCTTCCTCATGCGAGATGACGAGTTTTGCATTCACCTGGACTCCAGAGATCCTGAATGTCGGGCCCTTTACCTTCCCTCTCCTGCCTCCTGTCATCAAACAAGTTTCATTCAATCATGTGAAAGACGGCAAATTGAAACCCTGTAATGTGATTAGATGACGATAAAATGGATTTAGCTAAAAGCAAAGTAGTATGGGGTAAGAAATTCTCCAAATCATTAATCGAGTCATCTTGAAAAGGCCAAAAACATTGCAGGTTATTTTGTGTGACACTCAGTTTTAGGGCTGCTCGATTATGGCAAAAATCGTAATCTCGATTATTTGGGTCAATAATTGTAATTGCGATTATTCATTGACTTTGAAAACATCCATTTATTGGAGAAAATAAATGTGAACATTAAGTTTTTAACAGTTGATTACCCTGAACTTTATTTATAGTTAATAATAATAATTAAAAAATAATCGTTTTATTTCGATTACGTTGTTTTCGTAATCGTTGCAAGCCATAATCGTAATTAAAAAATACGATTAATTGAGCAGCCCTACTCTGTTTTATATCAAGGTTAACAGGAAATATTAGGGTGTTTGAGTGTTAGATCAGATATGTGAAGAAGTCACCATTTGCTTACATTTTCCATAATTAGCTAACATTTTTTTAGATCGGCTAAACTGAATAACAGCGACTCCAAACACAGAGCGGTCTGCTTCATCCACCAACACAAGAGCACCAGTCCAGAACCAACAGCAGAAGGACCCGCTCTGAATCAGTCCGCGTCGCCGCGGCTCAGAGACACATCGATTTATGTTTTTAAAAAACACTCGTTGCCATGTCAGGTTTTTGGTGGATTTAATCAAGTCTTGGATTGCAGAGTATGAATGTCCTCTTGCTATTTTCAGACGATATATACGGGTGTAAAGTTTGTGAAGGCAGGAGGAAAGCTTCCGCTCACCGTCTCCTCTGTTCCTCTAAGCCCCGCCCCCCCCCTGAAAATAATGAGTGACAGGCTGACAGTGACCCGATAGAAACGTTATTATTCACTTAATCACTGATTGAGATATGAAGCTAACTTAGTCTCATACATTCATGGGATTTATGGAACAGTAAGACAGAGAATGTAAGTGTGCACCCACATGCACTATTTTAGTTTTTATATGCTGTTGTAAATACTCCTGTTGTCGGGATATCAAATCGAATCGTTGACAGGATAATCGTAATCGAATCGTGAGACCAGTGAAGATGCACAGCCCTACATAATGCACATCACTAACATAACAAAATGTGGGCAGATGAGATTCTGAATAAGTCCGGTTACCTGAACTCTTCTCTGGTCCAGAGGGGTTTTCTCTCAGAGTTCTCACACAGCCGTTGTGAACCGTCTCTGCCAAACGCTTCAGGTCGCTTTCGGACTTATCCACGAGTTCAGCATCACGAGCGATAGCATCCAACCTGAGTGACCGAGACACATGTTTAGGAGACGGCTAATTAACGTTGAAAACCATTTTAAAGAAATCTTATTTAGCTCACCTTTCCAGCGGTCCTCCGAATTTCTTGTAACTCTTGACGAACCTGTAAGCAGATCACAGAGGTGTTACAAGGAATATCTGGAGGAGAAGATAAAAAGCCAGAGAGAGGTTGCTAATATACATGTTAGTAATTTAGTTTTTGGGAAAAGGGGTGGGATTAAATAAGTGTAAACTTCATCCCACCTCTTTTCGGATGTGTAATTAAGTAGATCATTTGTTTATACATAATGTAGGAGCCAAAATGCTTGTTTTGCCATTGTTATTATTTCTATTATTTCCAGCTACTTTTGTCGAGGGAACCGGAAGTGGTAAAATGTTAACTTACTTCCGGGTTTTAGGACGCGTCACTGTGGCACTCTATTGTTTGTTTTCGTCTTTATTAAACACCGTGGACTTGAAATGACTACGGACTCTTATATGGAACGCGCCACAGCGAAGAGCAAATGTTAGCCTCTTAACAGCATAACTCATAGGGAGTATTTGCCGCTACATATCATTTGTAAGTCAATAATATTTTTGTTTATCAATTTGATACTGCTTAAGTTTGTACAGTATCATAATCCTCATGTTTCATTTCATTATTTTTTTGTATTATTGTTTAACACGTTCGAAATAAATCAAAAGATCAAACCTCCGGATCTCAGCGTCACTGAAGCCCTTGATGTTTTCTCGTGGAATAGTTCGAGGCCGCCCCCTCTTCTTTGGCCTCTTCCGGTCCGACGGGGAGTCGCTTTCGGAGCCCGAGTACCGTCTGTTCCTGCTCTGCCGCCCCGAACTGGCGCTAAATTTCGACTGTTAGAAGGAATTAAACAAATGACAAGGAATTGGTACAAAGATAATAACTGAATGGACCTAAAATGGAAGAATTTAGGGACATTTCAGAATCAGAATACTTTTTATTCGTCCCACAGAGGGGACATGTACATTTGTTACAGCAGAAAATAACCAAAGACATTGCATTTAGCTGACGCTTTTATCCAAAGCGACTTACAACAAGTGCATTCGACCAAGAAGACACAAACTTAAAGAAAACAGAATCATATAAGTACATCAGGTTTCATAGAGCCAAAACATTTCAAGTGCTACTCAACTGGCTTTAGATAAGCCAGTCCTTTATTAGTATATAAGTGCTCTGTTAGTAATTCTATCGCTCGAAGTGGAGTCGAAAGAGATGAGTTTTCAGTCTGCGCCGGAAGATGTGTAAGCTATCAGCCGTCCTGATTTCAATGGGGAGCTCATTCCACCATTACGGTCCGTCCACACAGCAGCTTTTCAAATATCTTGAAAATCTTGGAGCTGGGCGTGTCTGAAAGCTTGGGGATTTTTTGCGAGCAACGCGACCAACAACCAATCACATGAATCTCCCGCCCCCGACATACAAAGCAAAAAACCCCGGGGATTTTATGCGAGCAATATATATATATATATAAACTCCCCAAACAGGCGAAAACCTACCAGTTTCCCCCACTGTCTCTGCCACCTCCCTCCATGCCTGGTTCCTCCGGTTTGTATCCCGGTAATAGTTCTGGTCGTAAAGAACCGGGTGATTTGCTACCGTAATTTCTCGTTTGGAATATGAGGAAATGAACTGCGGTCTGGCTCTCCCTGCTTACACGTGGTTTGATTGGCTGACGCTTCCAGCTCAGCTTCAAAAGTTGAACATTGCTCAACTTTTGAATCCTGAAAATCCTGGAAATCTTCGCTTCGCTCCCCCACAATGCAGTTCGGCGAAAAGCGAGGCAAAGTGACGTCATCCCCATTCAAAGTCAATGGGCAGAGAAGCGTTGGAAGATTTGTTTAAAGCTGCTGTGTGGACGTACCGTTAGACTTGCTCCAACTCTGCCTGTTTTGAAATCTCGTTTAAAAACCCACTTCTTTTCCCTGGCTTTTACAGACCAGGTGACACTTTAAATTTGGGTTTTTATCTTACTAGTGTTTTGTATTGTTTTTACGTCATGTAGGAGAGTTTTTCAGTCTGTGGCTTCTGATCTGGTTTCATTGTCTCGTGTTTTACATTTGTTTCATGTCCTGTCTGTTTTTCATGTATTTATGCTATGTTTTTATACAGTTGTTGATGTACAGCACTTTGTTCAACTCTGTTGTTTTTAAATGTGCTATAGAAATAAAATGGATTGGATTTTGGAGCCAGGATAGCAAACCGACAGCATAAAAAAAATATTTTAAAAGAAAACCCATCCTGTAACAGTTCTGAAGATATAGCAGCCAGGTATATATTGCAGTTATTAACGGCATAGTTGGTATTGAGTGGTGCAGGGATCATACATATATCGATTAGATTTATGACCGAAAGAATGAGATCGCGGATACAAGCGGCCGAGATGGGTTTTCTCCGCAGGGTGGCTGGTGTCTCCCTTAGGGATAAGGTGAGAAGTTCGGTCATCCGGGAGGGACTCGTAGTTGAGCCGCTGCTCCTTCGCGTCGAAAGGAGCCAGTTGAGGTGGTTCGGGCACCTAGTTAGGATGCCACCTGGGCGCCTCCCTAGGGAGGTGTTCCAGGCACGTCCAGCTGGGAAGAGACCAAGGGGTAGACCTAGGACCAGGTGGAGGAATTATATCTCTTCGCTGGCCTGGGAGCGCCCCCAGTCAGAGCTGGTTGATGTCACCAGGGGAAAGGAAGTTTGGGGCTCTCTGCTGGAACTGCTACCCCCGCGACCCGACCACGGATAAGCGGGAGAAGATGGATGGATGGATTTATGATTCAAACATTATAAAAGTAGGGTAGACGTGTGGAGATTATCCGGCTGAACAAAACGTGCATTTATCAAACAGGTTGGTTTTCCACAGATCTTATTTTTTACAATATTCCAAAATCCTATGGAGAAATCCCGTTGCTTTTTGTCGAGGGAACCAGCCGCTTACTTCCGGGTCTGCCTACAAAAATAGGTCATCCCTGCACCGCTCTATTTAACACCAAGGGGTAGAAATATAAGCATGATCATCATCAGATCTAAATCGCGAGGCCTTATTATATTTGGGGTTTCTTGTGTACCTGTTTGGCACAATTCCTCATGCGGGGCAGCAGGTAGATTTCCTCCAGCTCCTTCTGCCTCTCCTCCTCCTCCATCCTCCTCCTCTGCTCCTCGGGAATGATGTCGTCCCAACTCCTCTGACTGCGCTCAGAGTCCAAGTCTAAATCCTCTTCATCCATCATGGAGAAGTTGGCCACCTGCAAGGTCAGGTCAGAAACAACGGTCAATGTCACAGTACTGAAGAACAGAGAATCACCATTTTTAAATAAATTGAACAACCACTTTCTATAAAAGAAATGAACGATGTGTTTGTACCTTGAACTGAGACAGCAGCTCCTCTGCCACCGTGGAGGGTCCGGGGTCGTTATCCCTGGTCTCGGCTCTTTTCAGGATCTCGTCAATGTCCATTTCCTAAAGAGCAGAAGAGGCGATGACATGCTAGTAATATATTTACTGGAGAAAAGTACATATATAATTCATTATAAAACGGACAAGTCAAATCAAGCGATCTGATTGGTTCTTAGCCGTGATATAATGAGCGTATATCACGGGTAGAATTGTAGTTACTTTTCACAACAAGTCAGTATCCCTCCGCGTCTGAGAAAAGCTGGAACCGTTACAGCTGTTACATTATGTCCGTTACGAAACTAACCCAAAGCTTAAGATGGAAACATTTAAGGTTAGCTTCGACCTCCGGGGTGGTCTTACTATGGAGGAGTGGATTGAGCAGTGCCCATCTCCAGAAAGCACCTAAACGACGACATGCAGAGCTACGTGAAGAGCAGGCAGACCAACTGGAGAAGTACCTCCATTCAAAAGCTTTCTGATGCGGGTCTTGAAACAAAGCAGAGACATGATGAGCGTTAGTGGCCACAGGTGCGAAAGCTCTCTCCAGAGCTGCTGGCAGCCGAATCTCGGGGACCGGAGAAAGTGGAGCAATATTCTCGCCACGCCAAGCAACAGCCTAGAACAACCTCAACCTATACAAGTAACCTCGTAAGCCATGCTACTGATGCTGGACAGGTTTTCAGTGGGTGCACAATAAACGGCAGCATACACATTAATGTAAATAAATAGCCAAATAATGGATCAACGCTCTCTGTCGAATATGTTCGCTAGCTGTTAGTGTTGTTGCATAGCAACCACCTCGCACTATGTTTCGTGCAGAAGGCAACGGAGGGACTATTTTATTTTGAACATCATTATTTACTAATAAAAACCATTTAAATTAGAGTGTGTATTTTTCTTTCATATTGCCACACTTGGTAACCGTTTTAAAAAAGCGTCGGGCCGAACCACGCCCCTTAGCTGTGATATAATGACCATATACCACGGCCTGTCGTGAGCTATTGTTTAAGTACACACTGTATTTACGTCACCATCGGCAGCAAGAACCCTCTTTAGCTGTTCCATTGAGCAAGAATATCTTCATAAAATACTAATAAATGTTTTATAATATACACATTTATACAAATACACTGATGTTATATATATCATACATTTATTTACATTTGCACATTTTAAGTTTACCTTATTTTTAATTAAAAAAATCATATTTTTATTGCACTTTTTTACCATAATATTCTATTTCTTTGATTTTTATCGCACATTTTCACTTGTTAACGTGTTGTGTTTATTTAAAAGTTTGTTTTTATTCTATATGGACAAATTGCTACCACACCAAACTTCCCCCTGGGATAAATAAATAAATAGATCCCATCCTGTTCAGTCAACAAGTCGACGTTTCCATGGGCAACATACTTAATCCTAAATTGCTCCCGATGGCCAACTGTGTGTGAGTGAGAGTGTGTGTGATTGTTAGCTTCCAAGAGTACTTGCCACCGCTCTGTATGAATGGGTGAATGACTTGTAGCAGCAAAGCGCTTTGAGGGGTCGAACCGACTGGATAAAGCGCTGTATACAAGTACGAACTATTAGCATATCTGATAATTATTTACCTGAGGCTCCTGCTCCTCGCCCTCTGGCTCTTTGAACAGCTCCTCAGCACCGAACTTCAGGATGGAGGACAGCTCCTCCTTGTTGAACGGTGCAGAACTGTAAGCAGTAAAACACACTCAATTTAGATGACAGCCGAGTGTAGAAGCAGTGTGTGAACACAGGGGTTTTATGGTGCTCTTCTGTCAACAATAAGGACGTCAAAACACAACAGCAGATTGTTTCTTGCCTGGAGGGAGCGGATCCCGTATGGAGGACAGTTTTCCCCGTCGTGTCCATCCTCTGAATCACAAGGTGGTCCAGCACCATTTTCTTCTTCGCCCTCTCAATGATTTCCTCCTCTACTGAGCTTTTTGTCACCAGACGGTAGATGTTCACCTGTGGGTCAGCAACAACAGTATAATGTGTTTATCGAGGGAATAGCCTTTAAACACACTGTGGCAGCGCAGAAAATGAAATATGAAGTGACTAGTGCTAGAAAGGCTAACCATCATTTAAATATATATTAAAGCACATTTACTGATGTCTGTAGCTATATGTTACAATGTAAAATAATCAGAGATAAAAAGGCCTATCAACAAGTAATAAAGCCAGGTGTTACTAAGGCTGGAGCCACACGAGAACGGTAACGGTCGTATCCGCTACAGTTCTCCATCAGATAGACGGTTTGGCCACACGAGGCCGACAGGGAAACGCAGATAACGGCTCCCAAGGTGAGTAGATCTGCAGACGAACCGCTCTGTGGGGCCAAACGGCTCCGTGTCTACGCCGTGTCTATTGCTGATGTGTTTCGCCAACAACAACAACAATTTTATTATTCTCGCATTAGCATTATTAGCATTAGCCCAGCGCAGAAACGCAGAGACTAACTTATGGCAACACAAAATAAAACATGGGAGCGGTGGAGATGAGGAGGTGTCGGCGTTCTGGCGATTTACTTCCGGCCGGGGACTTTGGGCGGCAGTATACGCCGTGAAGTGGTTTGCGGCCTGCCAGTAAACCCAAAGCAGAAGAAGAAGAAGTGACGTCAGCGGCTTCATTTGCCTAATCCACCCCCAGGGACTTATTCCGGTGTGAACGCGATCTGTACTTAGTTCATGAGAACTAAAGAGTTCTCATGAACCTTTGTGGGAAAAGTACTGCGGTGTGAATGCGCCTATTAGCTAGAACTAGCTAGATCTGATCGATATGAACATAAACGCGAGTGAAGTCTAATCGGACCGGAAAGAGAGATCAGCTGCTGCTGACGGAGAAAAAGAGCCCTGCCTCTCCCCACCTCTGCTGCTAAATCCACCGCGGAGAATAAACAGAAGGGCAACCATGGCAACCATGCTCGGAAGTCTACTACTGCATTTTCACATATGCAATTGCGTGTTTTGGCCACAAGAGAGCTCTGTTTTCCAGCCTGAGTCTATTTATTTATTGTTTTGGTTGTGTGTGATTTAATAAAATTGTTATAATTTAATTTATTTGTTTATTTATTATATATCATTTAAAGGTGACATGTCATGCTTTTCCGGTTAGTACCCGTCCCCTTGTGTGTTATGAAGGTTTTTATGTAAACGGTGTGCAGAGTCAAAACCCTCAAAGTACACCATGGAGCGAGTAAAACTCTAACACAGAAAATACCTCCCCAAAACGCCTCGTTGGAGATACGTCACTGTCCATTTGATTCTTCCGGGTACATCATGATGTCATGTCGTCCCCGGAACGAAATGGACCAATCCGTGGAGCCGTTACGTTACGTCCGCGGAGCCGTTACGTTAAGCCCCCGCTGATTGGTCCAAATTGACCAATCCACGGACTTCCTCACACACTCAGTGCAGGCAGCTCTGCTGATCTCTCCTCCCTGGGCTGCAGGCTGAAACAGACAGTTGGGATCGCGGCGAAATTCTCTCTGCAGACCCCGTCGCTCAGACCCGTTCTCCGTCGCAGACCCGTTCTCTCCGCAGACCCATTCTCTCCGCAGACCAGTCTCCATCTCCGCAGACCCATTCTCTCCGCAGACCCTTCTCTCCGCAGAACCCGTTCTCTCCGCAGACCCATTGCCTCTCCACAGACCCATTCTCTCCGCAGACCGATTCTCTCCGCAGACCCCTTCTCTCCGCAGACCCATTCTCTCTACGGACCCGGTTCTCTCTGCAGACCCATTCTCTCCTGCAGACCCATTCTCTCCTGCAGACCCATTCTCTCCGCAGACCCATTCCTCTCTCCGCAGACCCATTCTCTCCTGCAGACCCATTCTCTCTGCAGACCCATTCTCACAGCGTTTATCAACCTTTTTCTTACTCAATATCAAGCCACACTTATTGTTTTTACTTCGGCTGTGACTTTGTGTGTGCTCAGGATGAGTTTGGCTGTGTTTCGCTGTGTATCGCTAAACAAGGAAACAACACCTCAACGGAGCTCAGCGCGATTCACAACGTCCCGACCAATCGGAGCACACTGTGCTCACAGGGAGGGGGGGGCAAGAGCTGCAACAAGCCGTTTAGTGGAGAGAGTGAATACACATACTATACAGATGCGAAACCAATGTGAGTTTGGAAAATTGAACAATGTAAATCTGTTCTAGTAGACCTCAACAATGGAATTATGATCAGTGGAAATGGCCATGACATGGGACCTTTAAATATTATTTCACATTTCATTTGCAATATTGAATGTTCAATAAAAAGTTCTGTTTGAAAGGATGTACTTGAATTATTATTATATATTATTATCATTATGTCAGCGGTCTTACAACGGTGCCGACAATATTACTGTTTATCGCAATAACTTCCAGGAACATGTATCGTCCAACCAAATTAATTATCGTTACAGGCCTAATATTACAGGACAATAAAAACATTTAAAAAGGATGGATTATGGGCGAAAGCAGCTGTTTCTTACCTGTCTCTTCTGCCCGATCCTGTGAGCTCGGGCCTGAGCCTGCAGGTCGTTCTGGGGGTTCCAGTCGGAGTCAAAGATCACGACTGTGTCAGCCGAGGCCAGATTGATACCCAGACCACCGGCACGCGTTGATAACAAGAAGCAGAAATCCTGGACACACATGGAGGTTGTATCAGTCCTGATTCATTCGGATAAAGCACTGAGAGCATTTACTGTATTCAGGGAGAAGAACTTACCTCTGATCCCTCGGCATTGAAGTGATCCAACGCCTGCTTCCTCATCTCCCCTTTGATGGAGCCATCTAACCGCTACACAAATGTACACATTCAGTTAGCTGGGAGGATATTCAGGGAGAGCTCTTGTGTAACTTTGTTAGGATTGCAACCCGAACAGTCATACTTCCCATCTGCTCCTTTACTTGAGAAACTCTACATTCTTACCATATATGACGTCAACATTTTGCAAACGTGTGTTTTTGTTTTAAGATCCATTTGAAAATTGCTTAGGAGTCAAGCAGGTGTATAAACCAATGTGCTGCCCACACACACATATAATTGTTTTTTTATTATATGTTATTCTAAGAGTTTGCCATCACTATGGAATTCATATTATCATTGTGTATTAACCTTGTGTTTGCTATAAAAGTGTGACTTTTTTCAAATAAAGAAATGTCTGACTTGTGTATTATGACCACACACACACACACACACACACACACACACACACACACACACACACACACACACACACACACACACACACACACACACACACACACACACACACACACACACACACACACACACACACACACACACACACACACACACACACACACACACACACACACACACACACACACACACACACACACACACACACACCCTTTACATCGGTTAATAGTTTGCCATCACGGTTGAACTCAAGTTTGTCAACTAAATGTTTGTATATAAATCTTTTGTTCTCTATAACGGAGTTAAATCTTGCCTCTTCCTGTTGTTCATTTATTAAATTGTGCAAAAAACAACAAACTAAACAATACCCCCTCTGTGTGTGCGCATGTACGTTGATGACAGAGTTAGGGTTAGCTACCTGAAAGAGGAACTGTCGGCTCTTCAGGTATTCAGCCAGGATATCCAGCATCCGAACCATCTGGGAGAAGATCAGGACTCGGTGGCCTCGATCCTTCAGACGCACCAGCAGCTTGTCCAGCAGCACCAGCTTCCCACTGCTGCGGATCAGTTGCTGTGGGAGGGAAAGAGGGGGAAAAGTTAAGGAAAGTCAATATGTAATCAACTGTAGTGATTTGGTAAGCTACTGGAATTTAATACACTAATGGCGCATTTCCACAGCAGCACGTAGCACGGTTTAAGCGTGCCGTACCAAACCCGGCCCGTTTTTTGTTGCGTTTCCACTAGGCGTAGTTCCGGCTAGCGGGTACTTTTTCACAGTTTTCTGGCCCTCCAAAATCCAGGTTCTTTCCGAGCCAACAACCGGGCTGAATATGTTAAACTAGAGAGAGAATCGCTGGCAAGGGGGCTACAACTACAACACAATGAACACATTTAAAGTGGTTTAATTGTAATACACGTTTCAAAATGATGCCGAAGTAACAACATACTGATACTGGTTAGTAAAAACCATGAATTAATGCTTTGTCAAGTCTGCAGACAGACGAAAAGCCTTTTAAAATGCGTGTTTTCTGAATGGAGATCGGCTAAGCTAATGCAGTATATACTCCGACCGTCTACACTCACAACAACGGCCTACAGACATAAATAAACCAGCGACTGTATTCTCCATGACACAGGCAGTCTGTGGTTTGTACTTGTTTAACTTGTGTCTAGTTTCTGAACAGATATGAAGAGCTGTGAGCTCTGAGGGCTAACAGCTAACGGCTGATGTTGATTTTGTGTTTCGCATTGAAGATGACGTCACGGCTCCGCCTACACTGCGTTACTATAGTTACTGCCCCAGCTACTAAACTGTAATGGAAACGCAGCATAAAGTGAGCCTGGCCTACCGAGGCCTAACTATACCGTACTAAGCCGAGCGAGGCCCTGCAGTGGAAAAGCGCCATAAGTGACACCACACAAGCAACAGAGATGTAGCCCCCCAGCCGGTTTGTTTACAAGTCGTTTTTATCCTGGCTTTTTATATGAAGAGCACATGAAGGCCTGAAACTGAGGGAAATTATTTGTGTTTGGTGTTCCAGCGTAGATTTGCATTCTCATACCCATATTGTCTGTGTTATGCATGATTCTATTGACAGGACTTTTCAATTATACATAAACATACATGCCTTGATGTTCATTTATATTTAGGCTTCCTATCAATTGTTGAACGGCACCATTACTTTAAATGGACATGCTGCTGCACATTCAGTATCATGTAGGATGTTATGTTCCCTTTAAAAGCAGTAACTCATATCCCTATAGAACATAATCTGGTTAGATCAAATGAACCGACCTGTAATGCCTCGGCTCTGTTGAGGAACTCGTTGTCCTCGGGCGGCTTGATAAGGTAACAGTGGTTACAACACTTCTTCAGCTCCATCATGACGTTCAGGAAGCCCGACGTGCTGCCTTTACCTTTACTCAGAGCCTTGTAGTTCCTGGTGAGGATCCATCTGATCACAAACACAAGACACACACACTTATTAGTAAACTATGGTGAAAATTGGGTAGAAAATGTCTCGCTGTAACATGAAATAAAGTAGAAATCTCATCCATAAAGTTGTGCCTGAATGAATCCAGTTTCTGTCTATAGGCGCTTTCACATCGGAGTACTTTCCCCCCCGAACTAGGCCGATAGGGGGGAGATTTGGTTTCACACCAAAAAGGATCTGGAACTAGTCCCTAGTTCGCGTGAACCTTTTCACCCCCAGATAGTCCCTGCTAGAGAGGTAGTACTTTCCTGAGGAGGGAATGGTTCGTGGGTGTCGGCCACGCCAACAATTCCTGATTGGCTGGGCGAATTGCAAACCACGCCCAGTAAAACTCCGAAAAGTTATGTGAACCCAAAGCAGAAGAAGGAGAAGAAGTGACGTCAGCGGCTTCATTTGCCAAATCCTCCCTTGGGGACTTATTCCCGTGTGAACGCGACAGTTCCAGGGACTTAAGAGTTTCGGGGGGAACAAGTACCGGCTAAGTACTTGGTGTGAAAGCGGCAAATGGTTTCTGCGGTTAACACAAGCTGAGGAGATTTTCTTATTTTGTTCTACAACATAAAATACATCAGTTAACACCCCACTGGTGAATATCTGAATCCTCTAAGTCAGTGTTTCTCAAACTTTTTCATACCAAGGACCACTTAACCAATAAAAAAACACTCGCGGACCACCTAACTCCACAAATATCCAAAATCACATCGTTTTTCTAGAACAGATTACAAATCGCCTGAACATGGTACAAACAAGTGGCAAGATGTGTGATGAAGGTGTTGCGCGGGGCTATATCATGCAATTGAAAGTGAAACTTAAGCTCGCTCCATTGCGGAGATATTCCCGCGAGAGTGCGGAAAACTCAAATTAATTAATTAATTTAAAATGTTACCAATAAACTCACGGACCACTAGGGGGCGCTCATTGACCACCAGTGTTCCGCGGACCACACTTTGAGAAGCACTGCTCTCAGTGTCATTCAAAAAGCAGGGGCCCATTCCAATAGTCCATTTAGCTTAGGAACCTTCCTGACGGAGTGAAATGACCTGGAGGTACCTCAGTGGCAGCCATGATAAGTGACGTTCCAATTCTCCAAATGAAAGGAAAGGAGGTTTCAAACTTCCTTTATAACCTCCTTTAGCTTAGGAACCACTGGACCTCCCTAACCGAAAGGAGAGGAGAAAATGCTGCCCCACAATGCATTGCAGCCGCAGCATTTGCCGTCACTCAACAGTCGGCCGTTCACGGACACAAACGATAATGGGAGAAATGATATCATGAAAGTTACGGTGCTTATTAAGCTTTTTAAAACGTATGTGGTAAGTTGCCAAAGTGCTTTGTTTTGAACGTTCATCAGTATTATAATCAAAGAGAGAAATATGAACGTTAGTTTTTACTGAAATGATCAAATAAAGTCGACATTTCACAGTCTTTACTGAGCTGTGTGGAGTTTGTTCAACTTTTAAAAGATGTTTGAATGGTGATATACACAGAGATAGATGTTAAGGACTAACGTTTATAATAAATACATTTGTGTTGATTTTAAGATCTTTTCATCAATCATACGTATTGGGATCATTTGTATTAATGTGGACCGGAGGGAGAGGGTGACGAGCAGAAGCTTCACTTTCCTTTTATTTCAATTCCATCTTTGGTCCTGAAGAATATGTTTCTCTGTTGTCCACGTTCATAAAGCATAAAACAACAGCATCAGAGCACGGTGCAGAGTCTCTAGATGAGTTTACAGTAGTCCCTCGTTCTTATTGAACATCCATGTTGCTGTCTGTCTGTCTGTCTGTCTGTCTGTCTGTCTGTCTGTCTGTCTCTCTCTCTCTCTCTCTCTCTCTCTCTCTCTCTCGTCCTTTTGAATTCTCCTATCCACTATCCCTTAACCCCGTGACGTTTCACTCAGAGGTCAAGGAATAGGAGATATAGGGTTTGAATTTCGGAGCTGATTTTTGGATTATCGGAACGCAACCCAGGTTCCTAACAAGGGGCTAAATGAGACTACCTAACGCCATGACGCCTAACATTAGCCGCCTTTAGCTTAGCGGTGATGATAGCGCAGCAACGCAACAGTACTGTGGTTCATTTATAGCATTACATTAGCTAATTACGTCTGGAGATTGCATTTATGATTCAAAAGTCACGCAGGGCACTTCCAAGTGTTTTTGAGTATAATGTAAAAAGTCAGTTATGCTTAGAATAAATGAAAAAATAGGATTCTTATACATTCACCAGTGCAGAAAGAGACTTGCCCGCGAACAAGCTTTCAACTGTTTTCCTGGTTCATATTTTTCTACAGCAGCACATAAACACCAGACACTTGAAAGGCTGCTCTGTCATTATGAACAAAGCCTTGACATGCTAGACCAACATGGACAAAAGGAAGCAGACACAAGTGTTTCACTGCTTAACATTCAGCACATACCAACCTAAACTCACTTATAGTTTGCGTGCATAATGAAACGATCTACTTGTGAAGGGGGCGAGTCCAGCTCTTACTTGTAATACTGTTTCTGGATAGCACTCATCTCCACTCTGAGGATCTGCTCCACTTTGGCAGGAAGAGATTTCTCCACGTCCTTCTTGACTCTTCGCAGGAGGAACGGTTCCAGCTCTTTGTGCAGACTGGCGTACCCCGAGTCTCTGCCTTTACCATGCGCCTCCTCAAAGATCTCCCATGCGTGAAACCTAGAGAAACAACACATACAACAAACATCAGAAGTGCCGTACACATTCCTTACACAACCTACTTACTGTAAGACCATTTGCCCGATATGATAGTCATGGTGCATTTCTAAAACCACGTGTTTCAAGATCTTTAGAAAGGAGTGGTCATAGCTATCTGCAGTACACCGGTCTGTTTGTGAAGTCTACTTAACATACAGTTCAAATCAATTGTTTTGGTAGTAGCTCTTACATGTTTTATATCCGATTGCTGATAAAATAAAGTAATTTAAAATGTGCTACTTTGGCTCCGACACAGCGTGCGTTGCTCTGTAGTGACCGGTCTATATTCTGACTTAATGTCGTGCACACAGCAATATCTGATTTGTTACACTGGAGCTAAGTGTCTGAATGAAAGCAAACAACTAAAACAAATAATATTACAAAGGGGAAATAGCAGTTACTGGATGTTTTATTATGGCAACTGCATGAAAAGGACAAGGAGATTATCTTATAAGTTTAAAAAAGAATTCAGAGCAGTGACGAAAAACACATTTTCCACATCAGATGTTTAGAGCGCAGACCCTCCCATTGATATTACCCTGTGCTGCACTGTTACTGCCACTCAGAGAATAGTACAGTACAACAACCATCATCATGATCCAAGATTTAAGCTTAATAATGAATAAAGCGTACTTCTCTGGCATGATGAAGTGCAGCAGGGACCACAGCTCCTTCAGAGAGTTCTGCAGCGGCGTTCCTGTGATCAGAAGCCTGTGATTGGACTTGAAATCCATCATGGTCTTGTACAGGAGGGAGTCGTCGTTCTTCAGTCGATGCGCCTCATCCACACCAATGAAAGCCCAGCTAACAGCGCCCAAAAATGACTGGAAATACACACGACACAAGGTTAACATGGACACACTGCAGGGCATTCGAAATGACCTTTTTTCCTGTCGTTCATTTGGGCAATCATGTGATAAACAACGAGATAGATACTGACCTTGTCTTTGAGAAGAATCTCATACGTCGTGAGAATGATGTTAAACTTTAGCCTCTTGTTATGAGGATGCATCCACTCGTGTGTCCTGATCTGTTGAAAAGGAAATAAAAGACTTTAATAAACCGTTTACAGTGAGACCACCCCATAATGTGGATGTAAGTGTGTACCACCATACCATGTTCCTGCTGCTGATGTCTCCCAGGTAGACGACAAAGTTCATCAGAGGGGCCCAAAGCTGGATTTCCCTCTGCCAGCAGGTGAGCGTAGAGAGAGGCACGACCAACAGGAAGGGTCCGTACAGCTGGTGATCGTTGAACAGGTAGTTGAGGAAGGAGATTGTCTGGATGGTCTTCCCTAAACCCATCTCATCTGCAAGAATGCAACTGTGGCTTCTATGAAGGAAGAAAATGAGAGAAACAAGAGCTTAGACTGAGGAGCTGGTACACATCATATCTCCATGGGATGTTTTTTTATTCGCTAGGTGCATCCTCGTGATTACAGAATGGGTCGTGACTAGGGCTGCAACAAACGACTAATTTGATTATCGATTAATCGACTATTATGCCTTGCACAACTTCTCAAACGCTCTTATTTAGCCATCAACTTTTTAGATTTAGCTTGAGGTTGTTTTAGGCATGTGGAAACTAACAATGAAGACAATAAAGATGAATACTTGATTCAAAAATACATATATTATTAAATTAACTAAACAAATTGTGAACAAAATTAACATTGCTTTATATTTAAATTAAATAAATAATATTTCACATCAAAAGAAACAACAATGTTTTAACAAATCGTATTAAATAATCTGATGACAGAAGAGCTGAAACTTTAACAAAATAAGTAACTCTGTTTCCTCTAATCATTAACCCGTGTTTGTATCATGTAGTTAACTGCGTGTGTTGCTGCTAGCATACATAACACCTGACGTGGAAACGTTACTCGTGGATGGGGCTACAGAGAAAGACAGTCGAACCCGGTGCATTCCTCCGTCTGGATGTGGAGCACTTTTGATAAATGTTTAGACAAATTGACAAAACACCAACGAATCGACGACTGAATTAGTTGGCAACTAATTTGGTCATCGATTAAGTCGATTAGTTGTTGCACCCCTAGTCGTGACACAAGTTGAGAATTAAAAGGATGAAACATACTTGCACCAGGAGTGGGCCATCCAATTCAAGCTGTCCAACTGGTAGTCTCGGAGCTCCAGTCCTTCGCCTCCTATGTACGTCGGCTGCTTCTTCATAGGCAGAAACCTGGGTCTCTGTTTGAGCACCTGCAGGAGAGAAGAGCAGTGGTTGAATATTCAAGTCCAAACTGAATGGGGTTCAGTTCACTTGAACTGACACAGAAGAGATCACATTGAGCTAGACTTAGGCCCTGTGTCAACATAACGCTCCAAGTGCTTCTTTTTTAACCTAGGACAACGATATCTTGACACAATTCTTGGCTGTTGTACAACAAACTAGCTCCGCCCCCTGGATTTTAATAAGTGTTTGTGTTACTACATATTTTTGACACTTGTTTCCCCATTGCAACCAACCGGAAGATGCTAGCTTTCATACTTTGAATGAATGAGCTTCGAGACAACGTACAACACTACACAGCTTTCCAGTCTTTGTTAACATAGTTTTAGTCTGAAAGAGCGGGTCAACAACAAGCTGAGAAGTAGGGTTGCCAGAAACTGACCATGATCAAAATCGATTAATCGGCAGCCCTGGCGAATAATAAGCGATTATTCGACCGACACACGGGAGAAAAAAAAAAAAACTCAGACAAAAAGGAATTCCGTTGTTTTCTTTACTGGAACATGTTTAACAGTACAAACAACACTAGTGCTGTAGCGACGCGTCGACTTCAAAATATCGTCGACGACATATTTCCGCGTCGACGCGTCGCTACACACACGTGGGTCACCCAAAGCAACAAGCAGTTCGCAATCGCACTTCAAACACAATGGAGACTGAAACGGCTACCACCTCCTCCTCACAGGATTGCGCACGAAGCCCCCAAACGAAAACATCTCGCCCCAGGTCTTCAAAAGCATGGGAATATTTTAAAGTTAGTCCAAAACGCAAAGATATTTATATATTTATATCTCACTGAGACTGCTGCATAGCCTAGCAGAAGCAGCAGCTAGCTGTGGTGGCTACCATTAGCAGCTAGCATTTGCTCTCCGATTTTTACATAAAATGGAATTATGGATTATAAATTCAATCATTTTTTTATACATAGACGTTAAAAACCTATGGATTAACCGATTCAGCCGCGTTTTTTCTCATTTTATTGCCATTGAACACGTTTTTTGATCAGATTACGGTGGTGAGACGATCTCCCGAGAAGCTCTGTGAAGGTACGTGTTGTGATGACTGTATTTGCTTCCCCTGTCGCGAGTCCGGATCACTCAGTGATGATACTATGTACCTACATAATCTGTGGAGTCTCAGCTTTAATCGGATATATTGTATGTGCAGCTACGATAAGTAATAAGGGTACTTTTATCTTGAGTTCTGTGCCAATGTCCGTTAGCATTTTTCGCTCAGGGGTCATTTAGATGCTTCTTATGAGACTTGTGTTTTGTGTTGGTAAACATGGTTTGTATCGGCAGTTAGCTGAGATTATTACCGTTAATCTGGTATAACACATTAATAGGTTCTTAAATATTAAGATCCCCTGAGACACAGTATCGTGAAAAAAAATGTTTACATTACGTTTTTTATGAATTGAACAACAGAAAAATAATCGTTAGATTAGTCGACTAATCGATCAAATAATCGCCCGATTAATCGTTTTCAAAATAATCGTTTCCCCCCAGCACTAAACAACACACATGCACGCATGTCATCACAACGACGTGGCCTTGAAGTGAAGTTGGTAATGGCCGGCTGTGCTGCGTCTTTCTCTGTAACCTCTTTGGCGTGCTTCGCACTCAAATGCGAACGCATTGTTGAGGTTGAGCTGTGATAGACCAACGTCTTTTCGCAGAGCTTGCATTTAACTTCCTTTGGACTTGTAAGTTCGAAGTAGTTCCACGAGGAGGAACTCTTTTTACCTGCCGCTTTGTTCATCTTTAGTCGCACGTGTGAGGGAGAGGGGGGGTGGGGGCGGGGTCGGTGTGAGGGAGAGGGGGGGTGGGGGTGGGGGCGGGGTCGGTTTGTAGCGTGCTGCAGCAGCAGTCTGCTCTGCACGCAGGCTTCCTCCAAGTTTACAGTAAAAACAAACTGGTGGTGTGACCAATGGCCATTTACAATTATTAACACTATTACTATTATTAGCATTAGTCTATATTTTTGTTGAAACTAAGCCAGAAAAAGAAAAAAAAAACACAAATAATAATAAAAATATATATAAATAAAATCGATTTTTAAAAATAATATTCGATTATGGAGACTGTAACGAATATTCGAATAATCACTTGCATCCCTACTGAGAAGCTGACATATTTTCTAAATAACAACATAAACATTGGTGATCTACTTAACAACAGGCTTCCCCTGCATACGTCCCGGTGCGTTACCTTGCAGTCTCTGAAAGGAATGTTCTTGGACTGGTTTCTGCTCATGTAGTTGTCGATGCATTTCTGGAACTTCCTGCCGATGAGAGCGCCGTCCTCCCAGCTACACTCCGAATATGGCAAACCCTGCCACTTGCACAGATAGTCTGGGTAACCCGCCGCTGACTTTTGGTTGGAATGTCCTGCAGCATAGAAAGTCAGAGAGCCGTTAAGTTGCAGGAATCCAAATAGCATTAAAGGTATTCAGCGGAAAGTACTAAATACTAGGGATCGACCGATATGGCTTTTTCAAGGCCGATACCGATTATTAATAATAAAGGAGACGATAACCGATATTTGGAACCGATATACATTTGCAGTAAAATCTGAAAATCCTGGTGTCAAAATGTAGAATAACACAAACTCCAACACAACTTCTTTGAAATGCATTTAAGCATATTATGTTTAATGAACTTTTAAACATCTTACAACTGGTTTCCTCTCTGTGCCCTTTTCTTTAGTGCAGCCATCTGCAATGAGTTAGAGAGAGACAAGAAGTGGGGCTGCAGGCTGACATGCTTAACTAACAATAATGCTTCATTTATTATATCAAAACAATGCCTGTCTATCTAGCATAACATCCCAATAAGCTGCTAGCAACTGCAAAACACTAGTGCTAGCTAATATATAGAAATTGTATTCATTGGGATAAACCCCTTGAGATGCACCAACTCGTTTTCAAGGGGGTCCCGTAATGTTTTGCAAACTATTAAAAGTGAGGCTATTACAGTAGACCTAACGTTAATCTAGTAGCGTCACTTCTAATATTTTGCTAAACATTTGCTACATGTTGGCTAGCTAATGAGCTTCACATATCAACCTGAAAAACTGCGAGACTCCACTCGCAGCCCCTCCCCCCCACGACAGTTACTCCGCTGCGAGACGCTGCACGCACCCCCAACTCTGACTGACTTCCCGCGTCCCTGTGTAACTGGGAAACTGATAGAATTGGATGATAAGATCGTGGTGTTTTTGCAACTTCAGCATAGGGGATAGGGATGTTTATTGAACTTCGGTTTAACACATGTATGGCTCTGCCGCTCAGCGCTGCTGCTTGCTTCAGTCTGTGTCTGCGTTCACCTGCCTGTAATCTGAGAAGGTCCCGCCTCTCTGGCTGGCTCTCGCCCGGAAAATCTTCAGTAATAGCCTATCAGATAGCGCTGTGGGCGGGACATTGCTCGTGTACAGAGAGTGGTGACTGCAGCCAGAGAAACGGCCGCATCAGAGCCAAAGTTTTATCGGCAATTTGATTAAAAAAAAGGCCGATACCGATAATCGGTCAAATGCGGAATATCGACCCCTACTAAATACAAACAACAAGATGTAGAAAGCTCACCTATGATTCGCTCCACAATCTGGTACTGAGAGTGCAGGTCGTCCATTAATTCTTCCTGACAATTGAAATACTCTACATCCTCCGGTGATGCAGCTTTTAACCTGAGGAGAAAACAAAAAACATTAGATAATAAGAAATAGCCTGTATTTCTAATCTCAAAAAAACTAAATACAATTCATAAAAATTGAGCATGCTTGTTATCAAATGACTGGGAAAGGAAGTGACAGCGACGCATCAAAACATAGGTTTATGTTTCGTACCAACAAAATGGTCTCAATTAAATAAATATGTCCAAATTAAAAACAGTTATATAGGACAACGTTTAGCTTGTGGTTTTCAATGTCTTATTTGCAGAGGTCATATGTGTGCAGGTCATATGTGTGCAGGTCATATGTGTGCAGGTCATATGTGTGCAGGTCATATGTGTGCAGGTCATATGTGTGCAGGTCATATGTATGAAGGTCATATGTGTGCAGGTCATATGTATGCAGGTCATATGTGTGCAGGTCATATGTATGAAGGTCATATGTGTGCAGGTCATATGTGTGCAGGTCATATGTGTGCAGGTCATATGTGTGCAGGTCATATGTGTGCAGGTCATATGTATGCAGGTCATATGTGTGCAGGTCATATGTGTGCAGGTCATATGTGTGCAGGTCATATGTATGAAGGTCATATGTGTGCAGGTCATATGTGTGCAGGTCATATGTATGCATAAGGATAGAAATGGATATGTTTGGGTATGGGTTTTAACACGGGTAAGGTCCTTGTATGAACCAAAGGGGAGGAAAGCCGGCCAGTGAAACTGTTTCTTTGTCTGTCATGTGATCGTCATCATAAATGCCAAAGCAGTCTTTCCTGCAGCTCAGTGGCCAGAAGAAAAACTGTCGGTCTGTAACACAGTTTGTAATAATCTCAGCATTAAACTGGTAACCCTTAGATGCACGAGTGACTACACTCTTCCATAAGTGGGTCAAAAAGGACCCGTATTAGAATAATATGTGTTTTTATGCCATTTTTGTTAAGAAAAATCACTTGTATAATATTTAGTATTATATTTTGGTTCACACTAGAAATATCTTATATTTAATTTTTCACTATTTATAATTTTAGACATTTTTTTTACATTTTGAAAAAAAGGTTTTGAACATATTGATGCAAAGATCTCCGCTATTCTGAGACCCTCACAGTATTCCAGTCCCTTTTCAAAACTCATCTCCTCTCCTCTTGTCTACTCATTGCCCACCCCCCATCAATCCATGCCGGTTGATCAAGTTTGATAGTCCCATACCCCCCCCCCTAACCTTCCCTTATATTGGAAAGCGATGTTGAGTCCTTGAAAAGCCCTATACAAATATAATGTATTATTATTATACTGACAGGTATCAGATCTTGCTGTGTAAAATAATCTTTCTGAGAGGTGTCACTTGTAGTCTGTGTGTCCTACAGTGAATGTATTCCTGACAGCAACAGGTGATAAGAATCATAGGTTCCCATAGGAAATGCATGCGGGTCATTTTTGACCCACTTGTGGAAGCTCGGGGTAGAAATACAAAAACTACAATTTCTTAAAATGTAAATGTAACATTTGAATGGCATGATATCCAAAACATGTTTTTTGAGGAATAGCTGGAATATGAAATGATAAAAAAAATGTAATTACAAAGATACTTCAAGAAAACCACCTCACCGGGTCAAAAAGACCCACTTATGCATCTAAGGGTTTTGAACACGCTCTCACCATCTCTTTTTCTCCGTATCCTTCTTCTTGAAGTTGTCCAGTTTCTTCATGCCCTTGACGTTCTGTAACTTGAGTGTGTCCTCTGTCTCCCAGGTGTTGTGGATATGCGCCCAGTTCTTCCACTTTATCAGATACTGGATGTCCCCAGCCTCTTTGTTGGGATTGAAGTTGAGATTAGGGTCCCCGTCGGCTTCTATGGCGTACACGGTGGTGACACTTCCTGTGGCTGTTAGGAAAGTTAAAACAATGTCAAATACATCGAAATTCATCCTTAGAACTCAAGGCAAGGCTATTTATATAGCACCTTTCAACAAAGGCAATTCAAAGTGCTTTACAAAAAACGAAAGACATTAAGAAAATGGCATTTAAAATCAGTCATTAAAAAGAAAAGATAATAAAATAAACATTAAAAGAAAAAATACATGGATAAAAGTTACAGTGGAGTTTAAGATGTGAATAGTTCAATTAAAAGCAGCGGCAACTCAAGTTTTTACGGTACATATAAACAGGAAGTAGGGATGCTCCGATCAATTGGCCGCCGACGTAAAATACATGACACTTTTCTCTGTGCGCGGCAAAACGGCTTCACCAGTCTGGCAGTATTTTAAGGTGTCAGAAAATGACGGTATGCAACGTGTGTGAAGCAGAAATCCTGCTGTGACGGACCGATGAGCGGAGCAACACACACTAAGAGTTAGACCTAACACACTTAGCTATTTTATCTACCTCTGGAACAAACTAGTTATAAATATATTTATTCTTCACCGTCGGGTAGGGCTGCACGATATTGAAAAAAACTGACATTGCGATTTTTTTCCCCCTGCGATATATATTGCGTTTTTTTAACTATATTTAACCGGATGGAGGATTCGAAAATTATTTTGTAGGCTACTTATAGTGAAAACTACCCTTGGATGATGGGTTAGTAGACTAAAAGCTTTAGGAATCCAAAGTACAACATATAATAAGTACCCTGTATCAAGATTGATGAAAAACAAGTGACATTTGACCTTTTTAGACAGATTTAGCACCAAAAAACACTTCTGGGGCCATTTGGGTGGATTTTCCATATCTCTGGCCCCCCGTGGTCGATTTTGATGAATGAAATCTCTTTATAACCGTCAGAGCCAATGGAATCAAGGGGAAGTTCTACACACACCGACACATGAACAAATAAGGAGTGAGAGTGACGCGTAGCCAAAACCGGAAGCTGCATACACTCTGGTGGCTACCATTAGCAGCTAACTTTTGTGCTCCGATTTTTAAATAAAAATAGAATTATGGATTATAAACAATTGCTTCAAAGCCACAGATACATTATCAACCTATGGATTAACCGATTCAGCCGCGTTTTTTCTCGTTTTAATGCCATTGAACACGTCTTTTGATCAGATTGACAGCTACGGTGAGACGATCTCCCGTAAAAGCTCCGTAAAGGTACGTGTTGTGATGTCTGTGTTTGCTTCCCCTGTCGCGAGATCGGATCGCTTAGTGATGATACTATACTTAAATAATCTGTGGAACCTCAGCTTTAATCGGATATATTGTATGTGCAGTTTCGATAAGTAATAAGGGTATCTTTATTTTTAATTCTGTGCTAAAGTGCGGTAGCATATTTTCGCTTAGTGCCAATTCAGAGGCTTGGTATTACCCTTGTGTTTTGTTTTGGTAAAAATGGTTCATATCTTCAGTTAGCTGAGATTCTTCCCGTTAATCTGGTGCTACACATGAATAGTTTCATAAATGTTAAGAAGCCCTGAGACACAGTCTCGAAAAAAAACTGTTGGGGGGGGGGGTCCACACTGTGCTTAAGAGGTTATCGCACGTCCTAAAAAAACTAAATGAATAAAACCGCACGTCCCTGCGGTGTTAATATCGCGCATGCGCATATCGCCATGACACGATATATCGTTCAGCCCTACTGTCGGGTCACTCGTTACTGGATCAGTGAGCTGCGTGAGACGATACTGAGAGGAAAAGAAAGCGCTTCTGCTCAATTCTCCCGTGTTATTATCCAAAGTTAATGTAAACTTGAATAATGTACTTCATTTGAATGTAATAATTATGTTGGTTGTTGTTTGTGGAAGATCCCCATCGGCCCCGCCCCGATCGGTATCGGCCGATACTGATTCCGGCCCCAAAATTGCCGATCGGAGCATCCCTAACAGGCAGTTCAAGATTTGTGAGACCAAAGATCTAAACAGTCAATTTTCCAGTCTGTAATTTAAACGTTCCATCGATAAGAAATAAATAAGCAGCTTACAACAATAAAATACAACTAATATGTTTAAGCAGACTTATAACAACCCAACATCTGTAAGTAAATAGCAACGGCTAAAATGACTGAATTACCCTCATAGTCTTGAAGGAATAGTTCAATAAAAACAGATTCACTGTCACAAATTATATTCCCAGACAATACAAAATGTGATCTGTTTATGGTGCCGGTTGAATTCAATGATTAATCAGCGTGTTCCTTACCTCTTTTCCTCCCTATCCTGGACTCCATTACTTTCTCCAACGTCTCAAACTCTTCTTCCTCAGGCGCCGGGACGTCTTCACCGAGAACTTCCACCAGGTCGTCGGAGTCGGTCTTCAGGTCATCGTCCTCCTTGTAGCTGACGTTGACCGTGGCCTGCCGCCGGGGCCCCGCAGCGGCCGCCTTCTTGTACTCATCATCCTCATCAGAAGAAGAATGATTCGTGGACTTTTTCTTCTTCTGGTTGGTGCTTTTCTTCCCATTCCGATAATTCATCCTGAGTGCAAAAGTACACACATCCTTTACTCAAGTAGAAGTACAGATACTCGTGTTTAAAAATACTCTGGTGAAAGTAGAAGTACTGACTAAACTTCTTTACTCAAGTGAAAGTAAAGAGGCTTTGAAATGTACTTCAGTAAAAAGTACCCATAACTAGCAGCTGTTTTAAAGAGTACCTGACCTCCCTTTATATTAATAGAACAATAATGTCATTGTTAGCTAATGAATGTTTCCATGCTGAACAACGGCAACATGACAACGTTTCCATTGGTCCCTCTTCTTTAGAGAAGACCAGGAAATGATGGATACACGGATCGTGTTCAAATCAATAGGCACGCAATGACTCTAAAGAATAATGATCACGCATCAAACACACATTCAGACTAAAGGAACCAGCTGTTTGGAAAATGAGAGAAGTAGAAAGTACAGGTATTTGAGTTCAACATGTAAGAAGTAGAAAGTACAGGTATTTGAGTTCAACATGTAAGAAGTAGAAAGTACAGGTATTTGGGTTCAACATGTAAGAAGTAGAAAGTACAGGTATTTGTGTTCAACATGTAAGAAGTAGAAAGTACAGGTATTTGAGTTCAACATGTGAGAAGTAGAAAGTACAGGTATTTGGGTTCAACATGTAAGAAGTAGAAAGTACAGGTATTTGTGTTCAACATGTAAGAAGTAGAAAGTACAGGTATTTGTGTTCAACATGTAAGAAGTAGAAAGTACAGGTATTTGTGTTCAACATGTAAGAAGTAGAAAGTACAGGTATTTGTGTTCAACATGTGAGAAGTAGAAAGTACAGGTATTTGAGTTCAACATGTAAGAAGTAGAAAGTACAGGTATTTGAGTTCAACATGTAAGAAGTAGAAAGTACAGGTATTTGTGTTAGAACTGTAAAAAGTCGTCAGAAAAATAAGTAGTGGAGTAAAGTACTGATACCAGAACAATGTACTTAAGTACACTAACGAAGTATGTGTACTCCACTACTTCCCACCTCTGGTCCTGAGACATGAAAAGTTGTTATTTGTAGTCCTTACCAGCTGAGGTGAGAGGCTACTATAAGATGGAAATAGACATCCAATTAAAAAGGGCAACTGTGCACTCACTTGGTTGGGGGCTTTCTGCTTTTGATTGTGTGACTAGGCTCATAGTCTGACGCCGTTTCTTCACTCTTCTCCTCAGCGGACGAGTCTGATCCAGAACCACTCCCAGATCCAGAGCCTGATCCAGAGGAGCCTGAATTTTTTCTCCTTTTAGATCCACTTGATGAGTCAGATCCATCGCTACTTGACGAGTCCTAGAAGAGACAGACAGTTGCACAATCAGAGAGCGCTGATTCATTTAGTGCACCTTCTTAGCGCTCAAACAGCACAGAACAACTGCTTTGGGGGATTGTAAACTAACCTCATCAGATCCAGAGGAGCTTTGTCTCTGCTGTTGCTGCTGCTGCTGCTGCTGCTGTTGTTGTTGCTGAAGCTGCTGTTTCCTGAGCATAGCAGATCTTTGCACTGCTAGGATACTTGGGTTGGACTTCCAGAACTGCAATCAATGAGTGGAGAGGAAAGATATGTGAACAAGTTCAAAGGCCTTTACTGGAAATGAGTCCAACTAGTTCCCATCAAGCCATAGTAGCTCTCGAGTTTTGCAAATAGAGAGGCGAAGTCCCTCCCTTTCCGGGGACCTCCACCTTATTTCTGAAAAAGCATGCATTGAAGTCGATGGAGAGAGAAAGATTATCTTTCGATCCCGTTTAAATTGTGCCACGAATTACATAATAAATAATAATAATACATTTATTTTGGGGGGCACCTTTCATAACACCCAAGGACACCTTACAGGGCATAGGGGCAATATAGGGAACAATTAAAACAGTGGATTTAGTGAAGTATCAGCCGGGGTAAGACAAGACAAACAACAGGAAATGGACTATAGAAGGACACAAAAGGACACAGGGTACAGTTTATAAAGAAAATGCCAGTTGATATGATATAACATACGATGTTTGTCAATTTAAAAGATAATTTTGCAAGTCAAAAAAATACAAATGTGTCGTAAAACTGTGAAGTAACACTTTTTTGTGTGAAACCGCTCAATGAACTACATCTCCCGTCTCGCACCACACACCCAGACGGCCGTCACGTTGGAACGTTTCACTTCTTTCTTTCAGAACGAGGCGGAAAGTATTAAAAGAGGTGGAAATCACTCCAAGTCTGGGCACGTTGAGAGCTGTGCACACACACAATTTGTAGTCTTTCTAGTTGCTAGGGATGTAACGGTATACGTACCCGTACCGAAATTATTTGGTTCCGTACACGTGTGTACCGAAGTGTACGGAACGAATAAAATGTTAAACGTAAAAAATTGAGAACGTGAACAACTTCTTGGAAGTAATCTCAGGTGCAGCCTTCAGAGTAATTTGCTCACATTGGGCTCAATGCGTCACAGAGCGACCAAGTCATTTCATTGGACGAGAGGCATACTATGAGAGCTAGTCACAGGGATGCGTTCAAATTAGGGCTGAACGATTAATCGATTTTAAATCGAAATCGCGATTTGAAATGATGCCTGCAATTTTGTTTCCAATTTTTTTTTTTTTGTCAGTCATCCACACCAATCAGAAGTTCTCCACATGTACCAGCCATTGTTAACCAATCAGAAGTGGCCCATGATAGACAGATTGATCCAATCACCTGCCAAGTGCTTTTGAAAGTGCCTGCCCTTTCTTTTTTTTTTTTTTATTCTACTAAAATCATACAAAAACGTATAATTCATACACACAAATGAACAAAATGTTCCAAATGGCTTCCAACGGAGCTTTCCTAGATGGTTTGGTGAAACAAACCGTCTGAGTCAGGTTAGTAATGCTCCATCACATGTTCTACATCTATTACAGGGTGAATCTTAAACTGAAGCTTGACTTTAAAGCAACCCAACGGAAGTTTCATGTCACTTTAGTTTTTTCACTCGTAGCTCGGGCTGCGGGGTGCTAGAGACGGGAGCACGTTGATACGACCTTCCTCGCCGGAGTTATGGCCGCATTTTATAATAAACTTCCGTTGGGTCGTTAAAAACAAATATCGCAATTCGAATCGCAATATTTGTCAGAAAAATCGCAATTAGATTTTTCCCCAAAATCGTGCAGCCCTAGTTCAAATGTAGTCAGTAATTTGAGGAACTGTCGAAATGGCGAACGCAGATAAAGTTGAGCTCGAAAATCCTCCAGCATCATTGAAGTCTCCGGTTTGAGAACATTTTGGTTTCGCAGTTACGTACAAGGATGACGGACAAAGACAGGTGGACCGAACCAAAGCTGTTTGTCGGCATTGTTCAACTAACATTGGTTACGCGGCTGGCAATACACCAAACTTGCACACATTTGAAAAGGCATCCCGAACGTGAATATCACCGGTACCAAAAGAAAAAAGACTGAAGTGCAAACCCAACTCCCGCTAGCATTTAAGCCTCCACCACTCGCAGAAAGATCAGACCGAGCCAAAGCTATTACAAACACCAAATATCCTTATGTTGCCATGTTAGCAAAGCGCTACCTGGCTGTATCTGCTACCTCTGTCCCTAGAGAGGGTGTTCTCCACAGCAGGAGACATTGTTAGTGCCAGCAGATCTGCCCTTTCGGCAAGCAATATGGACAAGTTCATCTTTCTTTAAACAACATGAAAATACAATGACAAGCAGGTCCTCATGTCAAACTGGCTGCTTAGGTACAGTACAGTTCAAATACAGATTATTTCAGTTCATCGAAAAGCTGCACCTTAATGTTTATATTATTATATTTTGTATTTATTTGAGTGAATACATTATTCAGTTCAATAATAAACTGAACCGAACCGTGTCCTAAAAACCGAGGTACGTACCGAACCGAAATGTTTGTGAACCGTTACACCCCTACTAGTTGCGTATTTTTCACAGTCTTATATTTCAACAGTTTTACGACAAACTGTGACTTTTTTGACACGGAAATTATTTTGTAAGATTGACAAACATGTGTAATTCGTGGCACAATTCAAACGGGATTGAAAGATAATCTTTCTCTCTCCATTGACTTCAATACATACTTTTTCCGAAATAAGGTCCCATGGGTCGGAAGTAGATGGGCGGGACTTCGCCTCTCTATATACTGGTTTTAGCAGTTCCTTGCATTAGACATAGTGTTGCTACAGTGATGCAAGCAGATGCTTTCAGGAACAGCGACTGTGCGCTCACTGTTCATCTCACACCCACACGAAGCAGTTCGAGCGGAGGCAACTAAAACCACAGCGGTCAGTTAACCTAAACAGCCAACATGAACAATGGAATTTCACAACATGCGTTTTTGTGTCTGTGCCTCAGACACTGAAGAATGAACACCCAATAGCCACTTCAGCCAAAGTTTTTGCAAAACATGTATCCGAGGGAAGTGATAACAAGTCGCAATAACTGTCTGAATGTTGGATTTCATTAACTGATCCCTTAAATCCGTGCAAAACGTGGCGGAAATCCTGAAACATGCCCTGCTGTTCCTCACAGATAGGAGAAGGGTGGAGAAATACTTTAACGTTACAGTATATCGCCCTCAGCAAGCGTTCTAATACTAGGCCCAGTAAGACTGATATATATTAGTTACTGCCATCACCGCATATCACCTAATCCCCAATGTGCTGTTGATAGAAAATAGGGTTAATATCGGCAATGCGGATGTTCTGCCAATGCGTCCCTAGATAAAACATCTGCACACAGGCATCCATTCATGTCCAGATTGAGGGGCAACAAGGAAAACATCTTTCTTTCTCGTGCGTTTACCTCAGCTCCATCGATGTTTGACTTATTTGGCGCTTCGATCTTCTCCTTGGTTTTCTTCGTGTCAGAATCTGACCCGCTGCCAGAGTCTGATCCACTTCCTGAGTCACTGCTCCCTGATTGGCTGCTGCTGCTGGAGGAGCTGGAACTGGACCCTGACCCTGACGCGGAGCCCGACCCAGAACCCGATTCATCATCAGAATTACTGGAATGTGTAAAAAAAGAAAATGATAAAACACATATAAATGCATGAGTCATCTACAAATCCAACCAGCCTATGAGAGTCATTGAAACCACAATATAATAGCTGGCAATTATAGTTCTCTGAAACCATTTGGCGTTTATTATTATTATAAACATCCATTCAGACCGGGTGTATAATTAAACCCAATAAGACACTAAAATATGCTACCATCTTATTTCTTTAGACAATGCCATCATATTAACAGAGGAAGTGATGTCGGATATAAAATGTTATCTTTGCACAGCGTTGAATACAACACACACATAGCTTCTTGCATGTTGCAAGAAATAGTCAATTCATGGGCTTACATGATGTTTAAAATATGAAACAAGGACCATAGAGTTGACATGCAAAGATTTACTAAAACCATAAAGGGGGTATTGTACAATTGTGTGAATGTTTGTAAAAAGTTTATATTTACATCACTATAATTATGTCTCCCAACATATCAGAGGCGTTACATTACCAGAACACATCTTAGTGTCTTTTGGTTCAGAAATGTGTTAATAAATGATATATATGTGCATGTGCAGATTTGAGATGGATGACATTTTGAGCATAGTTGACGTTGCAATCTTTAAGATCATAAGACGATCAATTCGGCCATCTTTTCAGCATAGTAGAATTCTGCCTTAATGCAGTACTGCTCTGTGGTGTCATTTACACACAGTCACAGAAACACTGTGTGGTATGACATTAGACCTTTAGTCTGTGACTTCATAAATGACACATTTCAACGTAAACAAACAAAAGATGGCAGCGTCCCAGACACAGAAATTCTGCTTCCGTCTGATGTGTAAACATAAGGCTCAGATACATAGGAATTCATATATCATTAGCGGTGTCATTCCATCATCAAAACTACTCCGAAGTCCTCTAGTGAAAGATGTGTTATTACCTTGATTCTGCACCGCTGTTGGTTACACTTTCCTCCTCACTGCGTCCAGCCATGTTGAAGCCCAAAGTATAGACTTCCCCCTGACGACCTTTACTACTATGCTCCACGTGGTTAATCTGTCGGGGAAGAAATATATTAACAACATTAGAAAGTCAGTCAGAAAAAGATTTAAACATGTATTGGTCATATGCACAACAGCTACAGCTGAGCTGTTGGAAATGAGTCTCAGGCTCTTACAACAATGTGACATACAGTATCCTGTAGACATCATATAGGGAAACACCAGGGCTGTGCCTTCGTCTTGTTAAAAAAATAACACACTGCATGTAAAAATGCTTACAATGTTTGCAGTACACCATCCCTGAATAACTTTAGCCCCTGCATCAACCAATTAACTTATTCCAACAAGAATCTGTATGTTATTATGTAAATGTATAATTTCAGGTTTATTTAATACTGCAATCAACCCGCTAGCACACATCGTTCTACATTGTTACACTTATAAATACTGCTTACGTAATAGCATACATGTGTACTTCTGTACATTTGTATTGCATTTTAAATACTATAGGAATGCCTTCTTATCATCCAATATTGTGATATTTCAATTGTTCATCTCTATACTGCTGTAACAATGTACATTTCCCCTCTATGGGAAGAATAAAGGAATTCTGATTCTGACCTGTGCTGGGGGAGCTGTCAATACAGTTGCACACGAGACATGTTTTAATGAGGAAAATCGTGAAAAGTAATCAATGACCTACAGTTGAGTTCTTAGAGAGGTTTAACTGTCGATCACCAAAACACTTCTTTATTATTGGGTATCTGAACCCAGAACAGATGGGTGATGTTGGGACGGTTAGTCTCTGAACTTAGCTGTATTTGGTCTCACCGCAGCGGCCTACCAGGCCTGCACAGAAGCAGCGTGTTTTACATCCACACAAATCTCCGTGGACACTCTTCAACCCCAAATAACCACTTAAACTTTAGCCAAGCCCAAACAAAACCTCGTAGTAAACGGACTTCTTCCTACACAGGTGTCATCCGAGCTAAGTGTGGATAGTGGTTAGCATGAAGCTAACTAGCTACTATCAGTCAATGACGCCAATATTAACCGTTGGCGGGGGGGAACGTAATGTATGCAGACACCGCTAACGCGCCAGCCAGTATTTTATAATACAATGACCGTATAACCCCTAGCAGGATACTAATTTATGGCCACTTCATTGCTACAGGATACTAACTGTCCCCAATGTTAAATCAACCAGTGTTAGCTATCTGTTGTGCTAGTATTATGATCCTCGGAGTTACACAATCATAACATGTAAAACAGTTAAAGCATCTGTTTGATTCTACAACATGTGTTAGAACAATGTGGGCAACTGTTAAATGTCGTGCCATGTTTTTATTTTACATTATTGTTGGTTCAGTTAGCATGAAGTGAGCTAGGGGTGATAGTCCATCGTTTACTAACGTTGCCAAGGAAAGTAGCTAGCTAACGTTATGAAGCACGAGGCTAGCACGGAAGCTAACAAAATGACAAAACTTTGCGCTAGTTCATCTTAGCACCTCTGGAATGTTCTCTCTCCAGCTATAGCCGACATTCCGCGTTATTCAGTCGAGACTATTTCACTATGCAAATGTCTGGGCACGTAGTGGTCCACATGAGAGTACTAAATGTATTTAGTATTCATTATTAAAACCACAAACCAAATTAGCTAACCTAACTTCACCCTCTTCCATCTTGTTTTCATTCGCCGCTCACTTCTCGCGGTTTTTACCACATCAACATTAGCTTACTTTCCTCAATGAACTAAGGGATAAGTTACTCCACGCAGCATGTTATCTGGTGTTATTTCACGTTACCTGGCAAACTCCAATATAATTGTTGTTTAGATCCGACTTTCCACTTCAGAGGTCCTTTCTTCTTTTATTTAACTAGCGAGCTAGCAGCTGCGATAGCTAAGGCTACCTTAGGCTAGCTAGCTAGCTTTCTCCCAGTTAGGGAGAGCAGCCCCGAACGGTTCCGTTCAGCAGAACCGGTGCACTGGTGGTTTTCCTCCCCCTCAAGTAAATCCCCTTTCCCGAGCTAGATGCAAGCAAAGTCTTGTTCCTCGTTTGTCAACTATAATTGTAGAAAACTGGCATTTCAAACCAGGGTCTTCCGACAACCGGCCTCCGCCATGACGCCGTAGGGTTCACTTCACTAGGAAACCCCGGACAGTGACGTCAGGACGGTGCGCCTCACTACACTGCATCGGCAGCGAACATCTGGCAGCAGATAGTTTTAGATAGTTTTTGTAGACATACTTCCACAGGACACATAGAATAAAACCAGAGCACAATGAAACACTACGGGAGGTAAAGATCAAATAAAATGTATTTATAAAGCACTTTTCATTCACAGCTCCCCCTACCAATCACTGGGCATTCAGAGGTGTAAAGTAGCTAACTAGATTGTACTTGATGTACTAGATTGTACTTTACCTGAGTATTTCAATGTTATGCTACTTTGTACTTCAACTCCACTACAATTCAGAGGTAAATGGTGTGCTTTGACTCCACTACATTTATTTAATACCTTTAGTTACTTCACAGATGTGGATGAATGATGTGAAATATAATCAAGTGTTACATCAGACTTTAGTTCCACCTGGAGTAAATCCACCAGCTACCCTGCAGTATACAAAGTCATTCAAACTAGCTGCACCTTTACCAGCTTTGAGAACACTTTCATGATCAATCATTATAAAACATATCATATATATTATTCTGAAATGGACCAATCTGCACAATGACTACTTTCACTGTCGCTACTTTAACTATATTTTGATTATTGAATGCAGGACTTTTAATTGTAACAGAGTATTCCTACACTCTGGTACTTCTACTTTTACTCAAGTACACGATCTGAGTACTACCTCAAAATGTACTTCTGTAAATCTACTTGTCTACTGTGTTATAGTGACCTGAGTATAACACTACAGTGTGCAGCAGCCGGTGTGAGAATAAACAGCTGATAGAGCAGCGCCATCTGCTGGTCATGTTTGTTTAACACATTATGCATTCATCTACATTCATATCAAATCTGATGTTATTCAGACATTTAATCATACCATTTTTAAACAAATGAAATTGATATTTGATGCATAATCACAAAAATATTGAAATGGGACAATATCCAGGCCTCCTTGTGATTGGTCGGCTGGAAGATGCTGGTTGTTTACGGTTATTATGAGCCAATAGGAAGTGAGCCAGGAATCCATCAGCTCCGGGACGGAAGCTGAGATTCTGCAGAGATCCGATGGATGCTCACTCTCTCTTTACCCTCAATAATAACCTAAAGTTCCCGATTGAAGACTCACAATGGGCTGACAGGGTGAGTTGATGACATCACTCCATTTCTCCACAGCATGCAGACACTCTCATTCCTCCACATATCTTGTATTGAGCAGTGAATGGAAACAGCAGCAGTGAGGGCTGCTGATGCTTCATATGGAAATAAAACCATGGAGGTAATGTGGAGGAAATAATGAGATCCGCTTCCCTGGACACTTGCAGCATCCTCCTGCAGACATTTGTCGCAGGACATAGCGATATGTGCACGTGAAGCATGGGGATGAATTTAAAGGCGCAGGACACTGAGTACGAGCCGGAGTATTTATATATAGTCTGAGTATAACTAATATAGCTTCAAATGAGCATATGAGCTGTGTTCCACTGCACTGAACACTCATTATATATATTTTTTAATCAGAGCAGAAATGCATTGTCTCATGTGAGGGAATTATTCAAAGATTCAAAGGTTTTAATGTCATATGCACATAAGCTACAGTGTAGAAATGGCAATGAAAATCTTGTCCCGAGTTCCTCCAACATAGTTAAATAAGACATACACAATCAAACAAATACAAAAATTGTGCAAGAAGTCTATACACACGTAAATAGAATATGATATATAAAATAACATAATGTAAAATGACTTATTGTACAGTAAGATGAAATTAAATCAGGTTTATTACAGTGATAACTATTTAGATGCCAAACAGATGAATGTTCATGGAGGCACAGAGCTCAGGTGTTTAGCAGTCTTAATGTCTGTGTGATAACACTGTCCCTGAGTCTGGTGGTTTTGGTCCTGATGCCGCGGTACCGCCAGACAGAACCGTTTGTTTGTATAATCATTAACTGAAGTGACATTTTAAATGGCGGTGGAGATCAGTGGCTTTATATTGTTCGACGGAGACATACAAATGAAGCTCAGTTGGATCCTGTTGATAAAGATTGGAGTAGAAAGCAAAATGTGTGACATCTTAACCCTTGTGTGTGTATTCCTGCATTTGCCATAAAGAACATGTGATGTTTTGTTTTATCCTTTAACACTTCCACAAATTGATATACTGATTATTATCATTCACTTTTATTTATTTCAGTCACTTGTATGTTTCCTCTTTTGCCATCTAGCTTTTTCTTCATACTGCACACAAGTTATAAATTAACCTCAGTGTGTCAACATGTAGAGGTGAGGACCCAACTTCAATAGAGGAAGTGGGATTAACTGCGCCATTACTCGGAAAGACTTTTAGCAGATATACTTTTCAAAGCATTGCAGCTGATATGTACTGCATGTACTGATCATTCTGCACATGCCGGATGACTTATATCAGAGCAGTAATTGGTAAGAACTGTCTGTAAAGTGCACATATAAAACATGAACGGTAAAACTGATCTAATTTGTTATTTTAATTGCCATGTTGTCACCATACAGCTTGCGTGTTCTGTGCTTTCACACGTTTGTGTTGTCAAGGAAATGAAAGCAGTGTGTACATTGGTTTGGAGGGGGGGGAAACACTAGTTGTGACATTCATCAGACATTTTAAGAAGTGTTGATGATCACATGATTGAAAATAAGATAAGGTATACTTTATTAATCGCAAACTTAAATACCACTGTTGTGAGAGGCAGCATAGCTTTCTGCTCTCAAATGTAAAAGGACTAGAGCAGGGGGTTAAAACTCAAATACACAGTGGGCCAACATAAAAAAATGGGTACTAATGGGGGGCCGGACTGGTTCAATGTTTATTGCAGAACGTATTGAAATGAACTTATTGCACATATTAAACCTGGAACTAACAAAGCTTAAATTATTGCCTATAAAAACAACATTCAATAATCAGTTGCATTCATTTCTTATGGCTCTATCTGCAGCTTCTCCGGAGTCATTTCCTATGATTACATTTTCCCACAGGCCAACAACAGCTTCAAAAAAACTATTTCCCTCAAAGAGAAAACCAAACATGCCCTGTTGTCCTGAGAGAAAGTGCAGAAGGAAGCATCCATTAAACTCAGTGTGCTGCTCTGTGATGCTAGCTCAGATACTTGGCATCTCATCTTGGGTGCAAGCTCATCAACGTTTGGGCTCAGGCTCTGAGCGGAGGAGACCCTCAGGATGGAGTGAAGGTGTGCGTGCAATATACCGGCGGGCCAGATCTAATAGGAATTAGAGATTATCCTGCGGGCCGAAATTAAATCCACCAAGGTCCTGATTTGGCCCCCGGGCCTCGAGTTTGACACATGTGGTTTAGAGGAACAAATTAAAATATTTACTTATACAACACACGCATGAAGAATACTTCCACAAGGTAAAGAAACACAATTATATTTGATACTTTAGTTGGTAAAACTTTATTCGTTTATGTATTTTTTTTTATAGTTTTACATTGTTTTCGAAACAAAACAAATGCTTAAAATAATTTCGGCATGCAGCAAAACAAAAAGAAGAATGTCTTTGAGGGCACGCCATTTTGTCGACATGTTTTAATAATAGGAAGCAGGAACTTGACAGAAGGAGAAGTGCAACCGCCAGACACACACTTACTGTTCCTCAGCAGCTGTTCTGCTACCCGCTCAAGCATAACACAAATTATAATAATAATACCGTGTATTTGTCTAGCACCGATCACGCAAGATGCAGCCCAAATGCTTTACAGAGGAAAACAAGATACACACTAAAGAGTGAGGAACATCATTAAAACCAAGGTATAAACAAACAGAAAGATCTAGAGCACAGAAAACAATAACACATGAAAGGTGATACCTCAAAAACTACCACGAATTAAAAGTCGAATAGGTCTTAAATGTTCTTTTAAACTGTATGCTTACATCTACTATTAACAAATATGTATTTATAAATTAATGCCAGCAAGTACCAGGGTTCTTACGGTCATTGAAAACCTGGAAAAGTCATGGAAATTCAAAATGAAAATTGGCCCTATATGGAAAACAATGTTTTTCCCAAAGTTTTGGAAAAGTCATGGAAATGTAACCAAAGTTGCATCAAATATAATTTACATTTTATCTAATCGCCGAAAAAGTAATACTATAATGATAATAAATACTGTATCGTATCGTAATGAAACGTAGAATGGCTTTTAGCTGTCGAGGTGTTTTGCTGGTGAGAGATTTGAGTTGCTTTAGCGCGTAGAAGCTAGTAAGCTACTATTGGATTTGTGTTAAGCTCAACATGTTTCATATGCAGACCTTATTTTCCTGTTCCATGTTAAAATAAACTATTTTCAGTGGTACCGCTGAGAAAGAGTACTTTTTTTTGGTCATGGAAAATGAGGTAAAGGTCCTGGAGAAGTCATTGAAAATCATTGGTGAAAAAGTGTATGAACCCTGAAGTACACAACTAAACACTTTGTGTAGATAGGAACCACTTGTTATTGACCAATCCTAATATTGGCTTTCTTTAGTTCAGCTAATCAATAATATGTATTTCTAGAATCAACTAGAAACAAACTTTCAAGGCTTTTGGTTAATTTATCAAAATAATCATGTTTACAGGTAATTATTATCTGTATAAAATAAGAAATTGCACATCATGAGAACAACAAAAGAGTAGAAAATAAACAATTATACATCATCTCAAAATAGAAAATCATTCATTATGTATATATTTTACTTTATAGAGTTGTTTAATTTTCTGTTTTGAGATGTGCAATGCCTTGCTGCTCCCCAAATTGGGATCAATAAAGTAAATCTTATCTAATCTAATCAAACTATTGAAGAGGGGTTATGTTTTTTCTCTCATTATTTCACGCAAACATCCCATGTAATGATACAGTGTGATGGTAACACACACACACACACACACACACACACACACACACACACACACACACCACACACACACACACACACACACACACACACACACTTTCAAGG